CCCAAAAAACCCCGAAACCAGGACTGATGTCCGTGACGTGACTCACGGGGACGGGAAATGAAACTCAAAGCACGCTCGCAACGGGCCGGGACCGTCTCCCGGGGGGAGGCTCCCGCCACCCCTTCCCCCGGCTGCAGTCAGAGCTCTGCCCCGTCCTGCCGGCCTGCGGGCGGGGGTGGGGCGGCGTCCACACGGGCGGAAGGGCCAGCCCGCGCCCGGGGTCTGGGCGCCGTCCCGGCGGGGGTGGGGCGGCGTCCACACGGGCGGAAGGGCCAGCCCGCACCCAGGGTCTGGGCGCAGTCCCGGCGGGGGTGGGGCGGCGTCCACACGGGCGGAAGGGCCAGCCCGCGCCCGGGGTCTGGGCGCCGTCCCGGCGGGGCCGTACCTCGTTGCCCAGCAGCGCGGAGACGCAGGCTTCCGAGGCGTCGCAGATGGCTGTCAGGTCGTGGCCGCCCTCCAGCGCCAGCACGACGCGGCCGCCCGCCAGGGCCATCAGCTGCTTCGTCAGGTACCCGAAACCTGCAGCGGGAGGCGGCGGGGTGAGGCGGGCGGCGGGCGCGGCGGCTCAGAGACATATCGCGTGGCAGCAGCCCCGGGGCTGGGATGGGGGACAGAGCGGCTTCACGCGCTCACTCAAGAGTCTCGGTCTGGGCTCCCTTTTGACCTCTCTGCGGGTGTGAACCGTGGACTCTGTGCTTTGTTTGGTGACCCAGCCGCTCCAGTTTGGGGGAACACGGGCAGCCGGGCCCTGCGTGGAGGCCGCCTGTGGCACCTGCCCTCCAGTTCCCCAGAGGGCCATGCTGTCAGAACGTGGCCAGGGCCCGCCCAGAGTCCCCTGGGCTCCGGTCACCTGCTGTGCCCTGCCCGTGTCCCTGCACTGCCCCCTCAGCCCTCGGCAGAGCCGGGGACCCCTCGCTGCTGACCGGCGGCCCTGCCACGGCTGCTGCCCGCAGACTGAGCGCGACACGGGCCGCGGCCCCCAGCAGCTGCTGGGTGCCGGCAAGGCCACAGCTTCCCGAACCCTCACTCTGTCTCCGTCTCACGAGAACAGAGACTCTGGCTTCGAGGCCCTGAGGGCCAAGTGAAGAAGCTCAGCGCTCAGCTGTCGTGGCGCCCGGGCGGGGTAGGGCGGGGCGTCTGCTCTCTGCCCTCTGCCTGGTCACTTCGTGGGGCAGGGGCACTGGGAGGCCTTGCCCTGGAGCACAGCCACCCTGAGGCCCCTCAGGTTTCCTGGGGAAGCCCACACCCTCCCCGTGTGAGGCCACCAACGCTGACGGGGCGAAGGGGGGGGCGGCTTGCTGGACACGGGGCCTCGGGGAAGTCGAGGGTCGCGGGGGTCCTCAGGCTGCAGGAGGATCCCAGGGTCCCCAGGGGGCTCTGACACCAGGGCGCTGGGCAGCCGTGGCCGGGTGGGTGAGGGGGCAGTCAGGCCCCTACGTGACCCGAGGTGCTGCACCAGGGGCCTTTCCCCGCGGTCTGCTGTGGCAGAGCAGAAGCAAAAGGCGCAGCCACTGCTGGGCCACGCCTCCGTCGGTCCTCCCTGCACCACGGGCGTGGCCTCTGCCTGCTGCAACCCTCCACGAGCACGCGTGTGCGTCCCCAGCCCCCTCCAGCTCTGAGGCCAACGTGCTGCCAGCTACTTGTCTCTCGTGTCCTCAGGCTGCTCCTGCCGTCAGCACAGGCCGCGGCGAGCCCAGAGCAGCGCAGAGCGTGTGCGTGGTGGGGGACGCCCTGCCCTGGGGGGCTGCGCACTCTGGGCCCCAGCATCCCACAGGAGAAGCCCTGTGTGCCCTGGCCCCTCCCTCGCGGACAGAGTGCACCCAGGGCCTCTTGCCCGCAGCATCCTGCTGCTTGCGCCGCACCCCCGGGCATCCAGACGGCCTGGCGCCCAGCACCGCCACCACCCGGTAAGAAAGGAGCAGGCGCCTCCTCCTCGTCATGACACGGGAGACCTGACACACGCACACGCACGGTCACAGCGTGGGGAGGGCGACCCGGCTCCTCGGCCGCGGCCGGCACTCACATTTGGCAGAGAGGTTGTAGCCCCCGAGCGGCGTGGGGTGTCCCTCCACGGCGTCAAAGCCCGACGACACCAGCACCACGTCCGGGGCGAACTCGCTGGCGATCGGCATGACCACGGCCCTGCGGAGGCAGGAGAGGGCGTCACTGGGCCGGTCGGGGCACGGCCGCGGGGAGGGCGCCTGCACTCGGGGGCTCCCTCCGCTGGCGGCGCACGGCAGGCTGGCCCCCGAGGCTCACGCTGAGTAGAGGGAATCGGTGCAAGTGCCGCCGCGGCGCATCCTACGGATGCCTTCAGAGCCCGAGTCTGCAGGCCAGCACCAGCTCTCAGTGACAGCTGCAGCGCGGGGCCGCTCGGGCGCTGCCTGTGGGTGTTCCAGAGACGTGCCGCCCCACAGCACCTGCTGTGCTCCCTGGGGGCCCAGCTAGCCGCCCGTCCTGCCAGCAGCCCTCCCTGCCCTGACCACCCCCACGCCAGTCCTCCCTGCCCATCCTCTCTGCCCTGCCCCACCCCCACCCCACCCTCCCTGGCTCTGCCCCTGCCTTCTCTGCTGCCGTCCTCCCTGGCCAGGTCCTCCCTGCCACCCTCTCTGCCCTGCCCTACCCCTACCCTCCCTGGCTCTGCCCCTGCCTTCTCTGCTGCCGTCCTCCCTGGCCAGGTCTTCCCTGCCCATCCTCCCTGCCCTGCCCCACCCCTACCCTCCCTGGCTCTGCCCTTGCCTTCTCTGCTGCCGTCCTCCCTGGCCAGGTCCTCCCTGCCACCCTCTCTGCCCTGCCCCACCCCTACCCTCCCTGGCTCTGCCCCTGCCTTCTCTGCTGCCGTCCTCCCTGGCCAGGTCCCCCCTGCCCATCCTCCCTGCCCTGCCCCACCCCTACCCTCCCTGGCTCTGCCCCTGCCTTCTCTGCTGCCGTCCTCCCTGGCCAGGTCCTCCCTGCCACCCTCTCCCTGGCCTGCGTGTGGCCACAGTGCCGAGCCATCCGGCTGCCCTCCCCCTCCCACTCCCCCCTCCAAGGCACGTTGCACCCCAGCGTGTGGCCGGGGCGGTGCAGGGCCCTGCCAGCCCTGCCCGGGACCGAGGGCACCTCTTCACCCCCGGGCCCTGACACGGCACGCACACGCCTGAACGTAAAGCGAAAAGAAACAACACACACTTAAGATTGTTAAAGGAAAGCTGATGACAAGTTCAAGAGCCTTGAGTAGAGAATATAAACACCGAGAAGTCTGTGGTTTCGGCGCACTAGGGAAACAGCAAAGTAGTCGACCCGAAAAGCGGAAAAGGCACTTTTAAGGCGAAACGACACGCCAGGTCACAGCCTGAGGATGGTGTCAGCGTGTGCCGTAGACACGCTTCGTGCCGGCACTGCGTCGGGCAGTCAGGCGGGTTCGTGCGTCCTGTGAGCTGGTTCACTGCGTTTTGAGTGAGCGACCACCTGGGACTCTGGGGGCTCCCTCAGCCCCTCTGCGGGCGAGGTGGTGACCCACGGCCCCCAGAGGGCGGCGACCGAGTCGGAGCGGTCTGAGGTACCCTGCTCTGGCACAGGCCGAGCAAGGTGGAGCAGGAAGCGGGGGCACGGCTCTCCCGTGCTCCCTGAGCTGCTGGGCTCCGCACCGCCCTGTTGCTGGACACGGCCACGTTTTACCATCGCGCCACCGCCCACGTCCCGGAGCCACTCAGCCACGCCTGCCCTGCGCCGAGGGCTGCTCCCGTGCCCGCAGCCTCCGCAGCCACTCAGCCACGCCTGCCCTGCGCCGAGGGCTGCTCCCGTGCCCGCAGCCTCCGCCAGCCCACGCTTGCTCGCAGGCCAACCGCCTGCGCCCCACTCCCTGTGGCAGGCGTCTCCGGGGCTCTCCCTGTGTCACGGTGGCCGGGACAGGCCCTCCCGCAGGACGGCGCTGGAGGACGCCCCAGTTAACAGGCGCTGCGAGGACACTGGGAAACCGGACTCACCTTTTATCTTCTAGAACTAAACTTGTAATAATCAACTTAGTCCCTAAAAATGATGAGATGCTCTGAACACCCGCAGGGGCCTTCCTCTCAGACCATCGCTTTAACGCCAGCGTTTCCACGGCGCCGCCTCTGCCTTCTCGGGGGGACCAGGCCGGGGAGGCCTGGGGCTTCCCAATCAGCGGAGGCGGCGACCCCTGCTCAGGGGCGGGAGAGCTGGTGGCAGCGGCGGGCCTGAGCGAGGGCGGCAACCACCGGGAAGGCGCACCCTCGGCGCAGTGGCGCAGGGGGACGCCGCCACCGCCGAGCCCCGAGACTGATGGAGGGCACGGCGCTGCGCCCAGGGTGTGCGGCTTCTCCACGTGCCGCCCCTGCGCTCAGGCGTCCGTGCGCAGCCCCGGGACACTGCGCACCTTTCCGACGCCTGCTCGGGTGCCTGCGTCGCCGACGCCCGCCCTTCGCCGCGTCACCAGGCAACTCCCGCCTGCAGCCTGGGAGACCTGGGCTGTGCCGCAGCTTCCCACGGGACGCCGCGGGGCTGGGCAGGACAGCGGCGGGCGCGCGGCCCACGCTGCCACCTAGCACGGCGGCCCCTCCGCCCGCCTCCCGGCTGCTCCGCGGAAGGGGCCACGGCAGGCGGTGTCACGGGCCTCACAGCCGTAAGCCGCCACGTCGTGCCAGATCACAGGTGAAAACGTGATCTTCGAAACCCACGACGGAATCCAAATGTAACGATTCACGCGGCAGCTGGAAGGAAAAGACCTTCCAATTCACTCCCCGCCAGGGCCGGAAGCAAACCCCACCGCGCTGAGGCCGGCTCAGCCTCAGAGCAGGCGGCAGCCCCGCCGCCGGCCTAGACAGCCCCTTTCTGCTGGGCCAGGGCCTCTGCCGTCCTCCTCCTCACCCCCGTCGCTCCGCCCTAATCTGCCGCACGGTCCTCCCTGGGTCACCAGCGCCCTCCCAATGCCAACTGGGATGGACATGTTCCCGCTTTTTTGAGATTCTGCCGAGGCGCCAACAGCCCGGCTGAGCCATTCCCTGCCCCGACCCACGCCTGACCCACGCCTGCTCCTGCTGGGCCTGCGCCCGGCACCCCACCCTCCCCCAGGCCCCTGCCCAGCACCTCCTCAGGGCCCCTTCCCGCTCCCCACCCCACCCCACCCCACTCGGCTCCTGCTCCCCTCGGCTTATCTCCCTGTCCCGTGGCCCAGTGGGCTCTGTCGCCCCTTGCGGGCTCACCCGGACCACCTGGCCCCACCCTGGGCCGCTCCTTCTTGGGACCAAGCCCTGAACTGCCGGGACTCAGGCCCACCCACGTGCAGTGTGGCCAGGACGCTTCGCTCGCCAGTCGGCGCCCCTGGACAGGCCCTGCGTGGGGCTGAGGCCAACTCCCCGGCCGCAGCCAGGCAGGCGGGTGCACACCCGGGTCCTGCTCCCTCGCAGCCCTGCGCCACGCCCGCTCCTCAGACGCAGCCCCTCCAGGTCCCACTGCGCCCGCCCAGGGCCCGTCCTGGCCCCCCGCTGCCCCAGGGCGGGCGCTGTGCTCCGTCCCCTTCCCATATCTCGGGGGCCCAGCAGGTGCAGGAAGCCTGGCCGAACGTGGGACCTCCCTGCTGTGAGCCTTCAGCTCTGAAAGCGGAGGATGTCCTCAGACAAACTTCTACGCGGGAAAACGTCTGGGTGCCCGAAAGAGACACCGCTGTCGCTAGGGAAGAAGGTGTGGTGCTTTGCATCAAAGCTCTTCATCCCTCAGGCGCGAGACCACGGCACGGGGAGTTCAGTCAGTACCACTCCCAGACGGTGGAAACAGTAACCGCAGGTGCATGTCAGCGCGGCCCTGAAAAGAGCCGTCTACAAAGAGCGCTGCCGAGACCTGCGGAAGCAACAGAAGCTGAAGGGCCTGGGCCCAGGCCTCGCGGAAAGGCAGGGCGGCGAGAGGGACCTGCCCGGCTGCCCACCTTGAGGCCGCTGTCAATCAGCGGAGAGATGAGAGCTGTCCCTTCAGAACGTCTGCCTGTGCTCGCGTCTGGGCTAACCTCGTGGGGCCGCATCTAACTCTACATCGAGAGTGAGCATGAGCCCAACTTTGCCTCCTTCACCACTGACAGGCAGGGCCGCGGGAGGGGAGGGGTTAAGCCAGCGCATCCTGTCTCCCAGCCCCCCCGGCCGACTTCAAAGCTCGTCTGGCACGGGACTGGTTTGAATTAGGGCCCTCTTCTCCTGCAGCTCTCTGAGCCCGCAGAGAAAGTGCCGCTACTTCTGGATTCCATTAGGGGCAATTTTCTTATCTCTGCTCCATCCTATGCTTGATCCCCTGAAAATGCAACCTGGCAGGCGAGGGGTCTGGGCAGCAAGGTGCTGCCTTCAAGGCACACACCGTCCAGTCCCAGGGCCCCCCAGGCGCAGGAGAGGCCAGCAGAAGGGGGACGGACCCCTACCCCTCTTCCCATCAGGGATGCCCAGGGAGCTGTAAATCGTGAACTTCAAAGTGCTGCTTTACATTACAATCAATAAAAAAAAAAAAAACCTGAAACAATTTTCCTTTTCAAAGAGGCCATTTAAGCCTTAAGAAGTTCACTCGATAAGGCATTATCACGCACACACTTGGCGGGGGATGAAAGCAGACATGGGAGCGACTCAAACGGAAAGTTCCCCCAGCGGCCAGGCGCGGGCGGGGCCTGGGGTCTGGGAGGAGCCTCGAGGGCAGACACCAGCCACCTGCCCTGCCTGGCCTGCGCCTGCCAGCCGCAGGGACACCTGGGGCGGGGGGCAGATTTTTCACTGGAATCGGAGAACCAAAGGCACAGCCAAGAAAGGCCTTCGGGGCCAGTCGGGTCAGAGCAGCCTGAACACACTGCGCCTAAGGAAGACAGAGCCGAGATCTCGTTCCTGGCAAGCCGAGCACGGTCTGCCTCCTCCTCCGCACCAGGGTCCGGCCACGCAGGGCCCGGGGTCCTCCGGGCAGTGCCAGCGCCTGCTCAGGCAGAAGCTGCCTGGTTCCCGTGGGGAGACCGCAGGGTGACGCCAGGGGGGAGTGTGTCGGGGACAGACAGAGACAGCCCCCATTTCATGGGCTCAGAGTTCACACGGCAAACTTTCAGATGCATGAGTTTGAAGGTGTCCTTCCCCCCTAAATTACGCAGGGCAGTTGTCAAAATCACATTGTATCTGATCGAGAGTAAGAAGATGGAATCCCAGCACTCTGGGAGGCCTACGAGGGCGGATCACTCGAGGTCAGGGGTTTGAAACCAGCCTGAACAGGAGCAAGATCCTGTCTCTACTAAAAATAAAAAGAAATTAATTGGCCAACTAAAAGAATACACATAGAAAAAATTAGCCGGGCATGGTGGCGCACGCCTGTAGTCCCAGCTACTCGGGAGGCTGAGGCAGGAGGATCGCTTGAGCCCAGGAGTCTGCGGTTGTTGCGAGCTGGGCTGACGCCACGGCACTCTAGCCCAGGCAACAGAGCAAGACCCTGTCTCAGAAAAGAAAAGAGTAAGAAGAAACGTCACAATCAAACCGACGAGGCGAGAGGGAAAGTGGCTCGGTGAGATTCGGTGCGGGCTACTGAGAGCTGATTCCCTCCGGACACAGACCGGTTCCGGTTCTCCGGCGGTTGGCCTGCCGTGACAAATCAGATGGGTCCGCTTTTTCCTACAGACGACGTGTTAGCCAGGGAAGGAGACCCACACCTGCCGGGCCAGCCCTTTCTGTCCCCAGACCCCAACCACCTTCCCAGGGGGAGGACAGGACCCCGTGTCACAAGGAGCGAGCAGAAGCTGACGGGGGTCACGTGACTCACTCAGGGTCCTCAGAGCAGGTGGCAGAGTCTACATCAAACTCTTACACGTGTGTCCTTGTGCAGGGGCTGGCCAGAAACGTGCACTCCCACCCCCACACAGAGACACAGAGACGTGTGCACACACTTGCGAACACGCGCGCACACGCTATTTCACCCACACAGACATGCACATGCACACATGCATGTACACACACCTGCCCAGACACGTGTATGGGTCCAGACACATGCAAACACGTACACTGCACAGAGGTGTGCTTGCCACAGACACGCACACATGTCCACAAATAGACATAGACACGCACATCATTGATGCATGCCTGCACGTATGTGCTTTATATGTACACACAGCAGAACACCACCACGGAGGCCGAGAGAAAAATTCCCTGGAAATTCGAGGCGTCTCTTCGTCATCCTGCACTGACAGTGTTTCCTGACAGAGACTGAAGTCTGTCCCTTGGCGCCGCTAATACAGCCCTTCGCCTCAGGCCCGGGGCCCACACCTGCCCGCCAGGGCCCGCCTCGCTCCACCCTGGCAGTGGAGGCGCCACTTGCAAACCACCTCGCAGTGAGAAAACCTGCACCGAGAAGCTGTCCAGTTTTGGTTGCAGCAATTATTCAATCTGGTCTAGATCAAAAAAGTAGAAATTGCCATTTGACGACAAAAACAAACACTGCATTTAAAAAAACCAAAATCACCCTGCAGCCACATTCTAAACGGCCAGGCCAGGCGCGGGAAGAGCTGCGAAGGGCCGCAGAATATATGTGCACAAAGGGAAACAGCTATTTCCATCCGCATCACGCAATTCGGGGACCACGGAGCCTTTCAGACTTGTGCCTCCCTTCCCATCAACACAGCACTCTGCACAGAACCAGCCTCCGTCTCTGCCACCACCTTGCTGTCTGGACCCCAGACGGACTCCTGGTTTTTTTAGCACACAGAGAGGCATCCTGAGAACAGGTGAGAAGATGCCCAAGGTCCCGCCTCTGACGCCGAGGAAGAGTGGAGACAGCCCGGCCGGCCCGCGGACGCGGATTCAGAGGCGCTCAGCGCTGCGGCGTCCTCCCCGTCACCGGGACGAGAAGCCCGAGGACTCACCTGAAGGCCGCCAGGTACTCGGTGTCTCCCATGGGGGGGTTGAGGCCGCCGGTGAAAGCCATGTTGACGTTGAAGCCCACGCCGGGCCCCGTGCCCACCTGTGGGCAGAAGGGGAGACGCGCACGTCACGGACACTCGCGTGGGGCCTCCGCGACGGGGACCGCCTGCACTGGGGCATCACGGGCGCCTGGCACGTGCTGTCACCACGTGTGCGGGGCCGGCCACCCGAGGCCCTGACATCGACACGGAGCGTTTCCGGGGGGGATGCGGCAGGCGCTTGTGCACCCTGCACTTCAGGGACGACCCCTTCCCTCGGCCACGGGGCCACCACGCCCCAGTAACGCTGCCTGGGACCTGCCAGTCCACACGGCGCCCTGCGCCAACACAGGGAAATCAGGCCGGGGTCTCTCTGGGTGGAAACGACAGCGAGTCTGTCATTTCCCACCTTCCTTCCAAGAAGCAAGTCCCGCAGGCAGAGGAAGCCGCTGCCCTGGCTAGAGTCCCCGCTGTGGGGCAGCACAGGCCCGCAGGGACGTGGGGCACCGCAAGGCAGCCTCGGGCCTGCTGTTTGGGGGCTGCCGTGCAGCCCAGGACAGGTGGAGGGGACAGAGGACGTGCAGTGCCTGCCGGGGAGGGTGTGGGTGGTGTCCCACAATAGATGCCAGCTGCAGCCGCTCCTGCTGCACGGGGCCTGGCCTTGCCTGGAGGAAGCTGGGCCCCGCACCCTCACTGCAGCGCGGACGCTGTGGTTTGCCTAGACCGCGACCGGGAACGACCGCGGGCCTCCCATGTGCACTCAGACCAAGCCCAGGCGCGTGCACACGTGAGTGGCATCCAGGCAGACATCTGGCTGACGTTACTGTCTGGGCGCGAGCGAGCGTCACGCCCCCCCATCCCAGGTGGGCCGTGTTGGCCCCGCCCCTGGCGGCCCAGGAACCCCACACTCACCTCGTCAGGCGCCCCACTGCCCGGGAAGAAGTTCCCGTCGTCGTAGCGATGCAGCGACACGTACAGGACGCTGGGGTCGCCGTAGAAAGCCTGCTGCGTGCCGTTGCCGTGGTGCACGTCCTGCAGGACAGAGAGGCGGGCTCAGGCAGGGCCAGGCGCCGGCGTGGCCCTCACCGTGCGCTGTCCCCATCTGGGCCAGTGACGCCATCTGGGCCAGGGACGCTGGCTCCCGCTCACGGGATGGCCTAGCGCCTCCAGCCTGGCAGGGCTGGAGCAAGGGGTCTCGGGGCCTCCACTGTCCAAGCCTGCGGCGTGTCTTCCTCACCCCAGCACGTGGCATCTGCCTGGCGCCAGCAGAGAGCTCAGGCTGGCGTCTTGGCCAGGCCTGGAGGCCGTGATTTTCCCAACAAATTTGATCAATTCCTTGCTCCTGCCTGTCTCCGTGACAGGGAGCCACTTCCTCAGCCTCCTTCCGGAGGGAAGCCACTGAGCGTGGCCGTCCACTTACGGGCACGGCTGAGGTGCCAAGCCCCTGCCGGTCGCAGGTGGACGGCAGGAGTTGAGGCCCACCTGGCTGGGGGTGACCGCCCGTGATAAAGCCACACGCCACCTTGCTTAACACGGCTCCCACGTGTGCAGAGCACCAGAGGGCAGCAGAGGCCCAGGCCTGAGGCCGTCCTGTCCTGATGGGCAAGCGAGGGCAGCCCTGCCGTACACAGCCGTGTGCCTGGGAAAAGCCGCGCACGGCTGGGGGCTGCTTATCATCCTCCTGTCTGCAAAGGTGACCTGTGCTCATCGTAGAACTTGGAAGTGCAGCTCCCCAGGAGAAGCAAGGACAGGTGCCCATGACCCCACCAAGGGGTCATGCTATCGCGGTGGCTGTGAAGACCACGCTGGGGCCCCCTGCGGCGCGTGGCTTCGGGGCAGAGACAGCCTGCAGGGTCACCCCAACAGCACGGCCTCGGTGAACACGTCCACAGTGCCCATGTGGGCCCTCTCCTCGCCCTCCGTCCTCGGATGGCAGGGAGGGGTCCCCAGACTCAGCCAGCAGCTACCTCACCCCTCCCTCCCACTGCATTCCACCGACTCCTTACAGCCGGGGATAGGCTCCCCAGCCCCAGCCGGTACAGGCCTGACTGACCCGCCCCGGCCACGCTCCCCTGGCCAGGTGCGAGCCCGCTGCCTACAGAGCCAGCCTGCCCGCCTGGAGCTCGCCTGGCCAGGTGTGGGGCCTCGGCCAGGGAGGCATGTCCAGGCTCCCGGTGGGAGGCGCAGCCCCATGCAGCCACCGTCCCACAAATTCACGCCCAGCGTTGCCCCGGCTGCCGCCTCAGCCACGGGTACCTCCCAGGTTTTTCAGGAGCCCAGGACTGGCGGGGCTGGTGGCAGAAGCTGTGAAATGACTCCTGGCAGGTGTGGGGCTTTGATTTTCTGCCATCTTGGAGACAGTTTCCAGAAGGTTGGGGCCCCCGGTCCAAATGTCCTCTCCTACCCCGCACACGCGCTCGGCCCACTCACCCAGTCCACGATGAGGATCTTGCTCACGTTCAGCCTCTGCTGGAGCAGCTTGGCTGCCACGGCCACGGAGTTGAAGTAGCAGAAGCCCCTGGGGGACGGAATGAGGGCAGAGGGGAGAGAGCGTGGGTGTCCCTCGGTCAGCCTTCGTGCGCCTTGCGGCAGAACCATCCAGAACCCCCCGACATTCTAAGAGGGTTCTGGCGCATTCACGGTTCCTGAACAAATAGCTGGGGAACCGTGGCTGGTGCCGTATGATTGGCTGAGACACAGACACGCAGACTCCCCCAGACACGCAGCACACAGACACACCCCGCCCAGACACACCCCACACAGATACACACAGACACACCCACACAGACATACGTGTACACACACCACAGACACACCACGTACATACACACATGCACACACACATCACACATATACATGTACACCACCCAGCTACACACATGCACACCTCCCACATATACACATGTACATGCACCACAGATACACAGACACACCCAGACGTACATGTACACACACCAGACACACCACACAGATACACACACATCACGCATATACATGTGCACACCCCGACAGTTACACACATGCACATCCCCCACATATACACATGTACATGCACCACACAGATACACACAGACACACCATGTACATACACACATGCACACAACTCACACATTACATGTACACCCCCAGCTAAACATGCAACTCCCACTGGACACCGACCACCCCAGACCCCCAGGTATAACATGTACCTGCAACCAACAGATACAGACACACCCAGACGTACATGTACACACACCAGACACACCACACAGATACACACATCACGCATATACATGTACACACCCCGACAGTTACACACATGCACACCCCCCACATATACACATGTGCATGCACCACACAGATAACACAGACACACCCACACAGACGTACATGTACACACACTACATATATACACACATGCACACACACATCACACATATACATGTACACACCCCCACAGGTACACACATGCACACCCCCCACATATACACATGTCGCCATGCACCAACCACAATACACACAGACAACCAGACATGTACAGCACACTAATATATACACATGCAACAACACATCCACATAATACATGTACACACCCCCACAGGTACACACATGCACACCCCCCACATATGCACACATACACACACCACACAGGACACACACACACAGGCACACACACACACACACAGTCTCCCGGCTGGACATCTCCAGCACTCCACGGTAAGAAACTCTGTTTTACTTTGTCCGACAATCCCCCCTTGTTGGCTCAGGGGGCCTCACAGAACACCTCCTGCCCCTCGAGAGACGCTGTGGTCCACAAAACACAGACCTGACTTGTTTCAGTTGCTTTCTGCTTATCTTTCCATATTCCGACAGACAATTTGCTGTTATTTTAAGGAGTCTTATTCGAAAGACCAAGAACACAAGCTGAGGAAGGGATTCCAGGCAGACCGAGAATCTTCTCCACCTCCACCTTCCCTCGCACCACCGAGACGCTGGTCGTCGGTCCCCAGGATCCAGGACCCCGGCCGTCTCTCTAGGGGCCACCCGCCCCCCTGCACTCGCAGCCGCGCCCCAGCTCCGGGAGCACAGCGAACTGCGGCTGGAACTGTCTTCCTACTATTCAGAATACCCAACAACTCTGACTCGAATCAGACTTTCACCTTCGGAGACGCGAAACAGAAAGCGCGATACCCAGGATGGAGGGCTCTGGGAGGGACCACAGGGCTTTTCAGGTATCGAGTTTCCACGAAAATAGGACCTACCCATAGAATAAGCCTCGCAGGATTTCTAAGCATGTGCGCAACAGAAGCCCCACCCCCCAAATAAGCCCTAGTGATGGGAGTAGCTACGACGTGGCTACAACCCGTGCATGTCGTCGCGGAGCGGGAAAGAACACGGAACAGCCCTTCTCATCTGCCCCGTCGTGACAGCTGCTGTCCCAGAGGTGACCGGAAAGGCGCGGGCAGCCCCACCCACAAGGTCGGCTCCCCCGGCAGGTCCCGGCCATCCTGTGCATGCTGCAAGCTGAGGCTTTGAGGGGAAAATAACACATCCCCTGAAAATAAGCCCTAGGGTGTCTTCTTGAGGAAAAATAAATACAACGCCCTGTCTTATTTTCAGGGAAACACAGTAGAGCCACAAGGATTCCAACCTGAGGTTCACTCACATGGCTATGATCTCTCCTTTCTGGAACACGGATCTGATCACCTCACCTCCCAATGTGGGGTGCGGGGGTGCGGAGCCTGCCCCTCTGCTCACGCCCGAGCTTGCAGGGCGCACAGAGGCCCTTCCTGGCCGCCTGTGGCTGGTCCTCACTCTGGCCACTCTTGGCAAGGCCATACCCCGGCCCTCCCCGACGGTGCACACGCAGGCGTCTGCACTTGCTTTGCCATCGGACAAACGGCTGCTCACCTCCTCCAGACTCTAGGCCCCGCTCGGGGCGAGAACTGCTCCGCAGTTCGGACCCGCTCAGCCGAGTGGTTTCCGCGGCCCTAAGTCAACAGGACGGGACATCTAACTCCTGCCCAGGTGCAAAGGCACTCGGCACACAGCTGCGGGCCGAGCCTGCGCTGACCTTGCCCAGGTGAGTCTGCACCTGCCACTAGCTCTCCAGAAACAGCAACCCCCTGGGACAGTCCACACCCCGTACCTTGCCTAGAAGACCTGAAGCAGAGCCCAGCAAGCGGCTCCTCGGCCCCGACCCTGTGACTCGCCTCGGTAGCACGCTGGCTGACCGGGGGTCAGCTGACGGCCGCCACACCCGAGACGACCAGAGAGGCTTCACCGGGAATGCCCCGGACACCAGCGTCACGTGAACCTGCTCCCGTGCGAGCTGCCCCTCCCGAGCCCAGCAGCAAACTCAAGACCAGGAGACGTCCCTGGACTAACTGGCACAGACCCCTCTCCTCCCCTTCACCCCACTCTTCCTCACGACCGCCCTGGGGGCTGGCGGCTTGGGCGTCTGTGCTCAGCGCCTGCTCACGTGGCTCCGGCGCTACGCGTGCTCGCGTGTGTCAGCACACAGGACGTGGAGACAAGCCGGACACACCACAGGCAGGCAGGGGGCAACCCCGCCCCCTGCTGCCACTCTGGGCCGCACCCCCTGCCCCAGAGAAACCGCGTGTCACTCACATGGGCGTGCTCTCCTCGGCGTGGTGTCCCGGGGGGCGGACCACAGCAAAGCCATTCTGCAGACGGGGAGAGAGTGACAGCACACGTTTTTATCCACGAGAAACTGATGCAAACGGAGCCGCCGGCCCACTCAGAAAGGACAGGCGGATGTGGCTTCTCACTGCGTCCAGGCCACACTGCCGTGGGACAGGGGACAGGGCTGCTGTGAGCCCTTCCGAGGAGCCTGGGCCCTTCCTTTCCCAGGGTCTGCGGCTCTGGGAGGCTCCGGGTGAAACCCAGTTGCCAAGATCAGAGGGAGTGGGCCCTGCCCTGCCCTGCCTGCCCTCCGCGGCGGCTGCTCAGCCTGGGGACCGGGTGTCGCCCCGGTGCCCAGCGCAGGCTGCAGGTCCAGGCCTCCCCGCGCTCACCACGGCACGTTTGTGGGGGACGAGACCGTCTCCCTTAGAAACGCCCTTGATGAGACAGAAGTGAGACGTTTTATTGAATCTCTACTCTCAAACACGTGAACTTCTGACGTCCCAAGTGCGAGCTGGGAAGGAGGCTGCCGCTGAGCAGGCCGGGGTCTGCAGGGAAGGACCGAGCCGCCGTGCGGGCCTCGGGCAGAGCTGGCGCCCGTTCACGGGACCCCGACTCTCCCTGAAAGAAGGACCGGGGCAAACGACAGCTACTCGACTTGGGTGAACTGAAGACAGTTCTCAGAGTCAGACAAAGTGAGCTTGTCACCTCAAGGGAAGTGGCAGGCAGGGGGTTGTCAGCGATAAAATCTGGGCTTTCAAGCGAAAACTGACAGTTTGGAAAACATGCGTGTACCTCCGAGCACAGGGCCCTCCCAGCGCTCACGAACGAGGCTTTTCTGGTGAGATGAGTCACGGTGACATTTACCGTTCCAAAATCACTAATTCAGGGTTTTTTGATATTGAATAATGTCTGGACTTGGGAGATCTACGTAACTCAGCGAGCTCAGATTTCCAAATGGCCGAAGTGTCCTGCTGCGGACCCCCTCTCCCCCGCGGTGAAGGACCCGCCCGGCCCGCAAGGAGGCTGACGGCGGGGACGCCGCGGGGCCTGACCGGGCTCCAGGCTCCACGCCGAGGCCCGTCTTCCAGACGCTGCCACTCGTGAAGTCCCGCCGCGGCCTCGGAGCTCACCCACCACTGTCTGAAAGGCCTGTAAGAGGCACCTCCCGTCCCAGTCACGGTCTGGGCGAGGCCGGGATTTCTGCACACTCAGCTCCAGCAACGGCGCGAGCAGGCGCGAGAACTCGGTGGCCCTTCCTGAGCCAGATATCAGCATTTCTAAATGAATATTTTTACAGTTTCGCAGTCTTAATCTCTAAAACGGCCAATGCTGATGACAGACCTCACGTCAACAAAAGCCGAGCCCCTCAACAGTTGTCAAGAGGATGAAGGGCTCCCAAGACCCGCACCTCCGAGGATCTCTGCACTTGGTACGCGTGGTCACGAACGTGGGACGCCCCTCGCCTTGGCAGCCAGCCGTGCTGGTGCAGCAGGGCCTCCCTGCGCCCTGGACGGGGCCACGTCCGTCAGTCTGTCCCTGCCCTCCCCTCCTCCAGCCCCCCAGAAATCTGCCGCAGCCCCGGGAGCCCACGGCCGCCGGCCCCACTGACCTTCAGCTCCCCCGTGGCCACCTTGAAGACCAGCTCCACCACGCAGCCCACGGCCAGGCGGGCGGCCCCCGACGAGTGCACCTCGTTCCAAATGGTGTCGCTGTCCACCTGTGGGAACAACGCCGCGGTGAGGTGATGCCCGTGGCCACCCTCACAGCCGCCCCGGGTGGGCCGTGCCGCCGTGGGCCCCGGGCACCTGTGGCTCTGTCTCTGCAACCCCAGGACCACATCTGGGCTTGTTTCTTCTTGAGACATGCCACAAAATGCTAAGTGGAAAAATAAAAGTGAAAACACCAGAAGGCAATGTGTGTTTTCACTGGTTCTGAGGAATCCTCTCTCAACTGCTCCGATACACGGGGAGCGAACAGAGAGGATGTCAGGGTTGCCCATTTCCTTTTTGTTCTTTCGACGGCAACCCCAGCTAAGAGAGCCATTCGAGTTGTGTATCTCTAATCTGAAAATCTGAACTGCTACGAAGTCTGAAACCTTCTGAGTGCCCACGTGACACTCCAAAGACCATGCTCGCTGCAGTGTTGCAGATTTCGGATTTTCTTAATAGGGATGCTGAAGCAGTAAGTACAATGCGAATATCCCAACGTCTGGAAAACACCTGCAATCTGAAACACTCCGGTCCCAAGCATTTAGGACAAGGGACAGTCAACTGCACTGACAATCAGCAACATGAACTGTTAAGAGGGACCAGCAGCAGGCGTCTCCTCACATCTCTGCTTTGTCCTGTGCTGAACCTAACCGGAAAATTCAAATACCAACAGGAGTGGAAACGGGCCTGGGCCTGGGAGAGCCACCTGCTCTGCCCCTGGGGACACAGCAGGTTGGACGCCAGTCGTTTCTACTTCAAACAGGAAACGTGTTTCATGCAGACACGCCAAACAGCTTGTTTGTGTACTGGTTCATTTATTTATTTCGGTATGTTAGAATTTTTAGTCCTGGCTACCACTGGCGAGAAGGACAGAGACGCTGACAGCCGGTCCTGCGGAGAACAGTCTCCCGGGGGACCCCGGGGGCTCAGAGAGCTGCGAGGAGTCACGCGGCCACCGCCAGGCCTGGGCAGCCTCCCCGTCTCCCTCGAGGACAGGACGCCGTGGGCCAGCCGTTGCCCGGGCAGACGGGCTTGGGACACGCGTCCTTCCTGTGGACGTGCCCAGCTCAGCGAGGGTCCCGAGAGCCGGGACGAGCGTGTTCGACTTTCACACCGTGTTTCTGGCTCCATGGGAGGACCTGCTTCTCACGCTGCCCTGCCCTGCCCTCCTCCGCCCCGGCCCCGGCGCGCCCAGGCGCCTGCCCCCGCGAGGCCTGCGAGCCGGTCCACAGGCGCCGACCGTCACGTGGGAGGGAGGGAGGGGTCTCTTTCCAGGCAGTCTTGAAGCTCCGTCTTCAAAGCAAGGCGATTTAAAGTGCATTTACACGGGCCGGAGACATTTCCTGAAGAGTGCACTCGGCGGCGGTTACTCTTTTCAACAACCGAACTTCTATGCTCTCTAAATAGCTTCCAAATGTCGGAACGCTCCCCACTTTGCCTGCTCTCCACGGCATTAATGCTCGACTTGTAAAGAGTGGCCTCTATTCCAAATAATGCCACATTGTTATTCACTGGAGCAGCCACAAAATAGCCCCATCCGGGGCCGGTTACTTCAGCTGGAGAATTGGTCCAACAGCATCAAACGGACCAGTCAGGAGAGCGCCCCAGCCGCCCTGGCCCTCTGTGGGTGGCAGGGTCCCGGGCGCGCCAGGCCCAGGGCTGCACCCGTGAGGACAGTGGTTTGGCTTAAAGCACCCGGAGATTGTTTCCATTCAAAATGCGACGGCCGGGGCTTTAGGACTAAGGACACACGACAAGGAAGGGAAAGGCCGAGCCCCAGCCATGAAGGGCCTGTCTCGCTGCTCCGGCCCCCTGGCCGCTGGGCACCAGGGGCGCCCGTGTCTGGAGGCCCAGCCGTGCCCCTCCTGCGTGACCCCGGGCCTCAGAAGCTCCTGGACAAACCCCCAGCCCACTGCAGGCTCCCAGGTTGCCACTGCCCCTCCTGCTGCTCCCAGGGGGTGGTGGCGGGGAGCGGGAGCGCGGCCCCGGCAGCAGAAAGGCCTCACTCACGCAGAAAGCGGTCATAGAGGAGGTGGGGCTCACGCGGGCTCTGTGCAGGAAAGACAGAGAAAAGGAGGAGGAGAAACGGGGAGAGAGACTCCCACAGAGAACCTCACGGAGCTCGGACACGCCGCGGGTGGCGATTTGGGGGCCGAGGAGAGCTGGGCGCACCCGGAGCCGCGCAGGGCACGGGTCAGCAGGGAGGTTCAGGACACCAACCTCCTCCTGCATTTGAAACTTGTGATAACAGGGAGAGGAATGAGGCAGAAGTTTATTTGGTTTGAAAAAAAGCTCGAAACAATTTTTAGCCTGCATCGGCGGTTAAGGAAGGATGAGTTTTAGATTTTAATGGCGCCACTACATGACCCAAATGCCAGCGAAAAGCCGCGTAGGGGGTGGGGCAGCCCTCCCTGTCTGCCATCTCCCCCTGAGGGCACTGTGGCTCCTGGGACGACACCACGAAGGGCTGGCCCCTGGCTTCGAAGGGACACTGAGGCACAGGCAGATTGCACCTGTGCCAGTGACGGCCAGTCCACCCCAAGGCCAGGGCAGGGGACAGTGCCACTGCCTGTGTCTTCCTATTAGAGATCATTGCGGAAAACGACGGGAAGAAACAGGAGCCAAGGACCCCGCTCTCCACTGTTGCTTCTGCCGGGCACTCTCCGCCCGGCTCGGCCGCCAACCTGCTCCGGCTGCTTCTGTGCACGGGCCCGTCTTTGTGCCAGTCTTTGTGCCCGGACGGGGGTACAGCTCTGCTCGGCCGCTGCGCCTGGGATCTGGACTCAGTGCTCGGGAGGGGCTGCCTGGGCTGCATCCCCGGGGCTGACCCTGCGTTTAGCTTTCATTTGCAAATTATAAATTCTGCCGTGCACAGGCGTCCTGGCTGCAGGGCAGTGCAGATCCAGATCTTTTCAAGTCTGGCCAAAAATTTGCCCCGAATTAAAAGATTGCAGCCTATTTACAGTACGAAATAAAATAACTCTAGGGGGGCTTGGTGGCGGTATGAATAAATGCCCTTTATTCTCTTTCTGACGGGATAATTTTCAAAGCGGTGATTTCTGTAAAGACTCAGGAAGAAAACAATTTTGTTTCATTTCCATAACAGAATCCAGACCTGGGCTGCACCCTGCGATCCGCGGTCACACACACGCCCGCAGTCTTGCCGTCCACCGTCTCCCGTCCGCCTCGCTGCCGTGACCGTCCCTGGCGCTTCTTTGTGCTCTGGGACCGCGAGGGTCGGTGGACGGGCCGGGAGAGGGGCCACACCCTCACTCCGCGGTGCCCTGCCGTTGCCCTCCATGCACACGTGTGTGCGTCAGAGCCCGGCACCGGGAGACCCGTCGTCCCCGGGAAGTTTGTCCAGCCCCGCCCTGCCCGAGGAGCGGTGCACACCAGGCTCCAGCCACGTCTGCGTGGAAGGGAGGCCCGGCCCGTGGCCGCCTCACACACGCCACACGGCATGCACCACATCCCTGCCCCGAGAGCTTCACCCCGGCTCGGTGTAGACATGGACACATGATCACGCGCACGTCCTGTCAAGGCCGTGTCCACGCCGAGTGCACAGGCTGCTGCCGGGGGCAGGGAGAGGTGAGACACCAGCCGGCACGCGGGGTCCTGCACACCACGGCCCCCCAGAGCCCCACCCCACGTGATGGACGGCCTTCCCCGAGGGACGTGCCCAAGCCAGGCCGCCAGACGCCCCAGGCTCCTGCGGCCTTAGAAGCCCCACGTGGCAGCGCGGCCACCGGCTGAGTGTGGGACACACCTGGCAGCAGTCACTGCTCTGTGGTCTTGCTGCTGTGGCGGGGACCCCAGGGGACACAGAGCGGCACCAACACGGCAGAGACACTTACCCCGACGCCGCCACAGGGGAGCCGGACGAACACCGAGGTCAGAGAGCCTGCGGAAAGAGGGGGCGGTCAGACAGGCCCGGCCACGGCGGGTGGAACGCGGCATGGCGCTGGGAACGCCGGGGCCGCACTCGGTGCCTGGGACACGCACAACACGCCGCTCCCTGGGGCGGCTGCCCCCGGCACCTCGAGGGGCCCTGCTGCAGGTGGGTGTCCGGCCATGGAGGTGCCGGCTCTCTACGAGGGCGAGGCCAGGCCACGGCCCTGCTGGGCACGATCGGACTCTCATGGCACCAGCGAGTCCTTTGGGGCTGGGGGAGCACAGGGTACCCTGGCCCCAGCCCTGCCCCCACACCCCGGGGGGACCCTGTGCTCCTGAACGCTCATCTGCCCCCCAAGTCCTGTCCCGGGATCCCATCCTGGCTCCCGGGGGCTCCCATGAACAGTCTCTTGGAAACATGACTACAGTGGCCCTCCTTGCCCCCAAGCGTGGACTGTGCTGACCAGGGACAGAGAACTGCCGTCTGGGTCCGGGTCTCCCCACAGGGAGGCGGGACCCCAACACCGCCCGCAGCCGCGGGACTCGTGCCTGCACCAGTGAGGGTGCTCCCGGTGTGGGGACAGAGTCTCTCTGCAGTTGGGTCCCACTCCTGGCTGACCGCAGGCGACCAGCTTAAAACGTGCCTGTCTGTGAGAGACACCCCACCCCGATGTGCGGCCGGGCCTGCCACCCTGGCTGCTGCCCTGGGCCCCCAACCCCTCGCCCTCCACACCCCCAGCCTGGGCTGATCCGTGCTGTGGCCAAGGGCTGCTGCTCGCCTGCCGGATCTAGCAGGTTCCTGGACCAGCCTGGGGCCCCACTCTCTGGACGGGGCAGGCTGTGCCCATAGCTGGGAGGCCTCTCCGCCCCGCCCGATCTGGAACCGCAGCTCCCGCTCAAGGAAGGAGACTGGCCTCGGGGTTGGGTGTGGCCCTGGCCAGACCGGTGACCTTGGCATGAACAAGAAGAGCCCTTTGCAGGTGGCGCTTGGCAAGAGCAGTCGCCGCCGCCGCACCAGAAGCCGCAGGAGCGCAGTTGGCGTGGAGGAGCCCCACAAACACCCGTCGGGTGGACCCCACGCTCCACAGTGGCCCAGCCAGGCCCCCAGCGGAAGGCTCAGTGCCCACAGCTGGCCCAGCCAGGCCCCCAGCGGAAGGCCCTGTGCCCACAGCTGGCCCAGCTAGGCCCCCGGCGGAAGGCCCCGTGCCCACAGCTGGCCCACCGGGCTCTGGCCTTTCCCGCTCTGCGGAGGCCACACGACATGCAAGGAGGACGGAGGCGTGGCGCCACCTCTGTGCCACGGAAGAGTGCCCATGCCCACTTCCCGAGGCCGGGGCTGCCACGCCGGCAGGGGTGGGGCAGGAGAGCAGCGGGCGGCACCGCAGCCACCCTTCCAGAAAAGCTGCGAAATGTCCCCATTTCCGAACAGAATCCCTCGTGCTGGGAGCGGCCGGCCTGTCTCAGAGAGCGCCTGCGCTGCGGCTCCGCGCTGGCCCGGCGCTTGCGAATGCGTGTCTGCGCCCGACTCGTCCCCAGCCCTGGCCGGGGCCACACGACAGCCAGACCCAGGCTCTCCCCGAGGCTCTCGGCCGGTCCTGTCCTCAAGCCCGCTGACAGCCACGGCACCGCTGTGGCCTCCGTCTTCCTGGGTGCCGCCCAGGCTGGCCTCCCACCAGCCTCCACTCCCCTCCAGGCCTCAGCCAACTGCTTCCTCCCAGAGCCCCGCGCGGCTGGCACTTGTCCCCGAAGCCAGCGCACGTCTGCCCGGTCTCCTCTGTGCCAACGAGCGCAGGGAGAGACGGACGAGGCCACGGAGCGGCCTGCTTGGCCGGCACGCCTGGCTCTCGGCAGGTGCTGGGCCGTGGCGGGTGTGGCGGGCAGAGGAGCTGACAGGCTGGCGGGACAAGACTGGGCCGGGAGGTGACGGGCATAAGCAGCAGACTGTCCTGCAGCAAGGTCACCTAACGGTCAACGTCATCGCTGGAGTCACAGCGGGCCGGGCGTCCCGCTCCGCCTTGGAGGAGCAGTAAATGGCCCTCGGTGGCCCCCCGGGGCTCGGAGTGGCTGCACGAGCAGACCTGACATCACTCTCTAGGCGGACATGCGGGAACAGCAGGGCTGCAGACTGAAAGAGCTCGCTCTCCCAGTGTTTGTGTGTGTGGATTCACACACGCGTGTGTGTAGACATGCAAGTCAGGGGCTCTGTAAGAGACTGAATTTCTCATTTTCAAATCATAGCCAACAACGTGTGTATTAAAGTGGTAAGTCACCTGCACGTTTTATCATCACCCAGCAAGCGATGAACAAACACCAGACCAGGCGCACGGTCACGCATCCACACACGCACGCCCCACGCTCGGGCGGGTGGCGGGGCGCGGAGCCACAGGGAAGCTGCTTTGGTAACAGAGACCCGAGTGTCCGCGTCAGCCCCTGGGCCACGTCCCCGCCCCAGAAGTGTCTGTGATCCGCCCGCCGGAGCCCAGGCCTGTCCCTGCACTGCCTCCTGCGGTTTGGGGTCACAGTCACCTGGACCGGGCCATGGAACCTTCCGGCCTGGGGACGGGCCTGAGGCGTTGGTGACCCTCACTGTGCCCGTTCCCAGCAGGCAGGCGGGCGTCCCCTGCCTGGGACCGGGCCGGGCAAGATGCTGACTGCTCTTCTGTCAGTGCCACTATCCCGGCGTGGGCCAGGCCCTCGGGGTGGAGGGTCACCCTGGGCCCTTCCCTGGGGGTCACCAGTGCTCTCGCCCAGGGGCCCGGCACCCTCTCCTGACGCAGCGCTGTGTCCGCCGCCTCAAGTGTCCCCGTCCACCGCAGACGGGCACGCAGCGCGGGGGTGGCATTTCACATCAGTGAGTGACCACAAAGGGCCTTTTGCGTGTGGCTTAGAAACCTGTGGATTCCATTAGAGGAGGAAGGGAAATCACACAGTAGTGTCTGAACACCTAATTAGGGTTACACTAACAGAATCTGAGATGGTCACCCGCTATCACTACGTCTGAAATTCTGAGACTGAGGATCATGAAATTTCATGGTCAGGACAACTGTCAGACATTTGAAAATCGATTTCAAGTGGTGAGAGGCAATGGATTAAGTCATCCTCATAGCAACAGGAAGAGACTTTTAAACACAGAGCTCAGGAAAGAAAGGGAAATGGAGCGGTTACTGACGTCGCTGATGTAATACAAACACACACACAAAACAACATCCGCTTTGCAACGAACGCTCTGTTAACTAAAGAAACGCTAAGTATGTTCAAGTGGTTGCCTACGGGGGATGGGAGTGGGGTGAGAGCATGCTGGGAAAACATTCCAACACAGGCGCCAGAAGCAAGAGGGGGTTCGGGGGACCCCGCTGGCCGGGAGCAGGACCAGGGCCAGGGCCCACCCAGTGGGCGGCGGCCGGCTGGTAAGAAAGCCCCGAGCTACGCAGACCTGCCCTTCGCTTTTCCCCAAGGACACCACGCGTCTGATTTCCCCGCTCCTTCTGGACAGTCTGTCTGAAACCTAGCTTGGAACTGGCTAAAACCTGCAAGGCTCTCCCGCGGGTGGAGTGAGCCTGCCTTCACCTCCGACATGGAGGCCTCCTCTGGCCTGTTGCATGCCCCGGGTCTGGGAGGCCACCGTGCTGGGGACCCCTGGCCGTGGGGGGGCCCTTGGAGAACAGACGCCTTAGTGTCGGGATAGCCGGGCTGCCCTTCTGGGGGGAGACGGAGCAGCTGCGTGCAGGGGAGAGCCGCCGCCCCGCAGCGCCCCAGGCCCGCTGAGCCCTGCGCGGCAGCACTGGTGACTTCGAGGCACAGTGAAGGGCTCCTCCTGTCCTGGGACCCACGGCGGCCTCCCCTCGCTGGAGAACACTCCAGGTAGCTGGGCGCCTGGTAAGGACCTGGAGGATCCCAAGGGGGCAGGGACCTGGCCTGGGCCCCGGCCACACAGCCTTTGCTCACACAGCTCCTAGCTGAGGCCGCCTGCCACCGTCCACGCTGCCCCGTCCCGACAGGCTCCTTCCCGGCCTGGCTGGCGCACTCTGCCTCTCCTGCTCCTCCCCATGCTGTCTGGATTGGCGGCCCTCCCTGTACCAACCCGTCTAGGACCCGGGAGCCACCTGTGCCCCCGGAGCGCTCTCCCCCTCCTTGGAGACAGCTGTGCCAGCTCCCCTGTCCGGGGCCAGCTCAGTCTCCCGCTCTGCCCTGTCCCACAGTCCTGCTCCATGGTGTGGGGGAGGGGCCGGGCAGCAGGGACATCCTGTGGCTCTGAGTGCGTGGGGCACACGGGGACCGCCTGCACGCGGGAGAGTCCACACGCGCTGCACGCAGCTTCGTCACGGAACAGTGCGACTAAGGACAAGAGGGGGCGTCCCCACTCCTGCCGGCTGTCCCGGGCGTCTCGTGTCCCACCTCCCAGGGCTGCGCCCGAAGCCGTGATGCCCAAGCTTCGGGAAACGGCCAAGCAGCAGGGACAAGCCCACTGTGAGCAGACACAAAATGCCTCCCTTCGGTGACGGCTCCAGGCCCAGACAGGCTGCAGGGAGTTGAGGGCTGCACTCTGGCGGCAGCTTCCTGGGGTTCCCAGTGCATCTCAGGGAACGAAGCTCATGACAGCAGAGCCCCTGGCAGGGTGTGGACCGGGATTCTCTCCTGAGCCCACCAGGACTCCCCCACTCCGGCTGACAGCGTGGAGGCCGCGGGGGTGAGGCGCAGCAGCTGGCCTGCAGGGAGGCGCAGAGCTGCGAGGCTGCGACGAGCATCCCGACCTCAGCTAAGGGCCTCCCACATCTCACAGGGACAGCCCGGCCGGCCGGCTCCCGGCCACACTGCCCAGGCTGGTCTGGCTGCTTCCACAGGGCCTGCTGTCCCCGACCACCCCGGGCGCCGGCCTCCCGATTCCCCCGAGCTGTGGTGGAGCACACACGTCCTCCAGGGGCTCCTTGGGAAAGATCCCTCCGAAGGGAGAATGCCAGCCCCTGCCCGCCAGGGATGCCCCGCCCCACGCTCCTGCCCCCCCACGCCTGGCGGGCGAGGGGGCGGATGGGAGGGCGCAGCCCAGTGCGCTAAGGAGAAGCCCAGGCGCACTGGCTCCCTCTGGAACCCGGCTGGTCTCTGTCCCGAGTCTGAAAGTCCATTGGAGCTGGGCGGTGGGTGCCGCAGCCTAGGGCCTCCTCCTGCTCCCCGCAGCGACCTCTGGCCTTCCTAGTCTTCCCCTCCCGTTTCCAATTTCCCAGCTCCCTCACATTTTCGCTCCCTTTTCTGGGAGATCTCCTCAACTCGTCTTCCACCAGTGGATTTCTGTGGTCGTGTTTTCAATTTTTATCTTCTGCCTGTGATGCCGTAAGGCGTCCGCGCTGAAGACGCGAGGCAGCTGCGGTTTCTCAGGTCCCGCCTCCCACCTCCTGCAGTCCTGGCTCCGTGTCTGTCCCTACGTCCCTGCTCAGCAGCTGCCCAGGCCCCGGGAACTCCCCAGTCACCCCCTCCTGTCGCGGGCCGTGAGAACTGCTGGCTGGACGCTCTGGGCACGTGGGGTTTATTAATCGGAGGCTCCAGTATTGGGGATCCTGGGGGCTGTGTTCTGGGGAACCCTTGCTGCCGGCTTCCTTGGGCTGGGCAGATCCCTGAACAGGCGTCTCCGTCTTGGATAGTAAAGACCGGCATTCCGGGAGCCTGGCAGGGGAGCGGACTGGCGCCCACGCCCTGATCTGGACCCGAAGTCCCCAGCGCAGGGACCCGTTGTGCCCTTTCTGCAGAGACCGCAGGAAGCAGCCGTCTCGGACTGTGGGGTCGCAGCCCAGAAGCCCCTGCCAACTCTGGCCCGGTCCCTCTTCTGAGTCCCTCACTGCCCCCAGGCCAGGTCTCTGCGGCTGCCGTCTGCGAGCTGAGTCGGTGGTAGCCGTCCCGGCGCCCCCGGCGTCTGCCGGGCCAGACCACGGCCCACCTGCCGGACCAGACCACGGCCCACCTGCAGGGCCAGACCACGGCCCACCTGCCGGGCCAGACCACGGCCCACCTGCCGCCCAGCCCCGAGTCCCGCCGCTGCAGACTCCTGTCCTGCCCGCCCCAAACCTGAGGGCACGTCCTTTGGAAAGCCCAGATGCCCCGGGCTGCGAGGACCCAGGACGCAGCGTCACGTGTCCTCGGGGCTCCACGCACGCCCAGGGCAGGGCCCACTTCCACCCCGTAGGACCTACTCCGCGTCCGGTGCGGAAGATGCTGTCAGCCAGTACGTGACCGAGTGCATGCCCGCGCGACCGAGTGTACGCATGCGCAGACAAGTGCACGCCTGCGCAACCAAGCGTACGCATGCGCGGACACGTGCACGCCTGCGCGAATGCGTGAGTGACGCGTGTGTGAGCGAGCTAGGAAGCAGCCGGCGAGCAAACGCGTGGGCACAAAGGCGTCCACCCTCGACCCCCGTGAGGCTCTGCCCGCGTGGCCTGAGCAGGCCTCCGCAGTGTCGCCACGAGAAACGCAGGGAGCCGCCAAGCACAGCCTTTCCTCCCCCGAGACCCGGAGTTGGGGACCCGGGCCCTCCCCTCCGCCTCCCGGGCCGAGCTCAGGGCACAGCCGCCGTGGGCCCCTTCCCTGCGCGCAGTCGGGAGGACACCGGCCGTCTGCGGCTGACTGGCTTAGGGTACGTGGGACGCTGGGCAGGAGATGAGGAACAACGGAAGCAGCAGAGCCCCCGTCCCCAGGTCCGCGGTCTGCCCCCGGGGGGCCCCGCAGAGCACCTGTCCCCAGGTCCGCGGTCTGCGCCCAGGGAGCACGCAGAGGACCCGTCCCCAGGTCCGCGGTATGCGCCCGGGGGGCCCGCAGAGCACCTGTCCCCAGGTCCGCGGTCTACGCCCGGGGGGCCCGCAGAGCACCCGTCCCCAGGTCCGCGGTCTACACCCGGGGGGCCCGCAGAGCACCTGTCCCCAGGTCCGAGGTCTACGCCCGGGGGGCCCGCAGAGCCCCGTCCCCAGGTCCGCGGTCTGCGCCCGGGGGGCCCGCAGAGCCCCCGTCCCCAGGTCCGCGGTATGCGCCCGGGGGGCCCGCAGAGCCCCGTCCCCAGGTCCGTGGTCTGCGCCCGGGGGGCCCGCAGAGCCCCCCGTCCCCAGGTCCGCGGTATGCGCCCGGGGGCCCGCAGAGGACCTGTCCCCAGGTCCGCGGTCTGCGCCCAGGGAGCACGCAGAGGACCCGTCCCCAGGTCCGCGGTATGCGCCCGGGGGGCCCGCAGAGCCCCCGTCCCCAGGTCCGCGGTCTGCGCCCGGGGGGCCCGCAGAGCCCCTGTCCGTCCCCAGGTCCGCGGTCTGCGCCCGGGGGGCCTGCAGAGCACCCGTCCCCAGGTCCGCGGTCTGCGCCCAGGGAGCACGCAGAGGACCCGTCCCCAGGTCCGCGGTCTGCGCCCGGGGCGCCCACAGAGCACCTGTCCCCAGGTCTGCGGTCTGCGCCCGGGGAGCCCGCAGAGCCCCGTCCCCAGGTCCGAGTCTAGGGAGCCCGTGAGCCGCGAGTTTGTCAGACGTCCCCCCGCCGCTGCTGACGACACCCTGGAAGAGTCTTGCCACCTCCCGAGGCAGGACTGCTCCTGTTAGAAGGTTCTCTCCATGAGGCCAAAATCTCCCCCGACCCACGCACGTGGGGGCCGCCTGGCAGGCAGAGCCCAGAAAACAACAGCCTTTCGCCCTGAGCAGCAGCCGGGACTGTCCCTGATGGGCTCCCAGAGTCTACACTCTGCTTTGAGAGTCGTCTACGCCAGGGGTTCCCAGCCCTCGCCTACACAGCGTCCTCGCTACGGGGCACTCCCACCCGAGCCGGCAGCTCTCCAGGCTCTTTACCTTGTGAGCTGGGGCGCGACACCCGCAGCCACCCCAGCCGCAGGGCTGGACACACAAGCTCGGGTGATCTCAGACCCAACACGGGAGGTAAGGAAGATCTCGAAATACCTAGAAGTTTCTTACTGTCCAGTTTCTGCCTGTTGAGGGGGTTTGTGCCGTAGAGGAGGGTGTGTGCTTCCGAGTGCACCGTCTGCAGCTCCTCCAGCGTGGCCTTCCGTCCGCGGATGCTCTGCGGGGACAGAACGGGAGGGCACGCTCACCTGGGACCCCTTGCAGCAGACAGCAGCTCCCACCAAAGCCACCGCCCACCCTGATGACACGAACAAGCCCCAGGTGATTTCATTATTGCAAAATAAAAAGCAGCATCACCCAACACAATATTTAAGAAATATTTTAGAGGGCTTATACTTTAATCATAGCTTTGAAAAAACATTAAAAAGAAATAATTCCAGCCTCCAGTGCGTTACCCTTCACTGTCACATAAGTGACTTGGTGTCAAATTATTACTTTGCTTTCCGACTGCTGGGGTCTGGTCTTAAAACAGAGGGGAACTGACAGAGGCAGCCTGTGCTGCTTCACTCGGTTCGTGATCGTGGGAAACTAGAAATCGGCCCCCGAGGGTCTCCGAGCCCCAGGGTGAGGCAGCCTCCCCGCAGACGGCGCGGGTCGGCACACCGCTGCACAGCCAGGATCTGCCCGGCCGCCACCTGGGTGAGCCGCGCTTCTCTGCGCTGCGGACGGTCCTCTAACCGAGATATCTGGGCCAGTTTTCAGACTTTCCCCAGAAATTCACAGAAAGATGACTCTCCTTCAGTTAAACTACATTTACCTAAGCTTTTAAAAGGCCGGTGGATTCAGACAGAGACTGGAGCTAGCATTCCACGTGGAGACGGGCTCTCCAGGGCTGGGCCACCATGAGGAACCCCCCTACCACCACCACCATGGCTGAGCCCGTTCTCACCAGGCAGGAGCAGGGACCCGGCCCACGTCCACCAGCCTCCTGCAGGCCCCAGTGTCCACGCCTGTGAGCAATGCCCGTGGCAGGGCGTCCGGGGGCCCTACCCACGTCCAGTGCTGGTGGAGGCTCTGGGCCTCCAGCTGCCCCAGCGGGGGCTCTCCTGCAGGACACTCTGGGTCTTGGGCCTGGTCCACGCAGGCAGAGAAGGAAGTGGGTGGCTTAGCGGAGGGCAGGCGCCCTGGGCAGGGGAGATCCGCTCCTGGGACTTGTCTCTACCCAATGAAAACCTGTCTATGATCCCTTTCCCAACCCAGTGTCATTTCTACTTCGAGATGTAAGCCGGTGTCCACACGGGAGGCGTGCACTCCGTGGGATGCGCTGGGCCCTGGGCGGCTGCTCGGAGACCCTCATTCTGAATGACCCCTCAGAACACTGCCATCCCCGCAGCCACGCCGTGTGGCAGGGCCAAGCTCCATCTGGACAGAAGGTGTCCGGCAGGCCCTGCTTGGAGAGGCCTGCGTGGGGGTCCCCGAGAGTCGCGCCACGCAGTGTCAGGAGGCTGCGCAGCCTGCACTCAAGGTGGGAGAACAGCAAGGCCACGGCAGCCACGTGAGCTCTCCCACGTAAAAGCTACCCAGCACTGGATTAGAGTTTCAATAGCAGCAATAGGGATGTCAAGTCAGACCAAAGGGAGAACTTCCAAATTAAGCGGAATATTAAAATAAGACAAATAAGAGTGTAAAATACCCATCCTCAAAATATGCAAGACGAAGACAGAAAAGGTGTGGCCCTGAGGCAGTAAGGGCCGTGCGGTGACTCGAGCATCCAGGCCGCATGCGCGGTTAGCAATGGCGCCTCTGGCCGCTCCTGTTGGGAGGCTGACCTCGTCTGTCTCCCTTTTAACTCCTGAGACAAAGTAGCCAACGCCCTAACAGCCCCAACCCCAGGCTGCAGAGGCAGGAAGAGAATGCCTGGCGTGGCCCTGGTCTCTGGTGCGTCTTCCCCTCCCCCCCTTCCTACAGCCGCACCCAGGGGACAGGCGGGCACCCAGAGGGGCGCACACACGGGCAGGAGGGGCTTGGGCCCCGTGAGGCCTCCGTGGAGGGCAGGGCCCGCACAGCGTGGCCTGTACTCGGGGCTGTGCACTGAAGCTTCCAGGTCCCTGTGAACTGGCGGGAGGACCCGTAACTGCTTGTAACCTGCGCACAGCTTCCCACCGGTGGGCTACTGTCAGGTGAGCCAAAGCGAGGAGGAGCTGGGTCAGAGGCCACGTCTTGCTGGCCTGGCCCCCCCAAGAGAAGAGGGTCCTGAGCTTGCAGAAGAGACCTCCGGCCCACTCCCGTCCTTCCCCACAGCGCCAAGCGCCCACGCAGCAGCGCTCGGAGAGAAGCCACCCTCAGGACCCCTGGCGGTTGTCTGTCCAGAGGGAGGGCGGTGGCCATGAGGTCCTGGCCCCAAGGCCTGGGCTCCAGCCTTGCTGTGGCCTCCACGTGGTTGGGGGCCCAAGGGCCCTGCCCACCCGTCTCCTCTTGCTGGGGCCCCGATGGTCTGTGTCCCGCACCTGCAGCCCCTCTGCTCTGCCCCCAGGGAGGCCCAGGCGTGCGCTGGGCCCAGCAGGTCCCTGCCAGCTTCTGACCCTGTGCCCGTGGGCTGAGCTACCAGGACGGGCTCTGCCAGGGAGGTGTCACTGCAGCGAGGCTGCCTGGCTCTGGGAACAGCCCCGGGGTCTGGCATCAGCATCACTGCTCTATGGTCACGTCCAGGCCACCTGTCTACCCCCAGCTCTCCTGCCAGGCTCCGTCTGGTCCCCCTGCCCGACGGCCATGGAGCCCCTGCCAGCCTTGGCCCAGACACGGGGCACTGCCACCCGTGGCACCAACGGCAGGTGGGGGGGGGCAGCGAGGGCCTCTGTCTCCTCCCTGAGTTTTCATGTCCTCCCTCCTACCTGCCCATGTTTGCTTTTCTGGCTAACAATCTACACCTGAGTCCCCACCCTGCGCGGATCCTCCCAGGGAAGGGAAGAGGCGGAAGCAGAGAGGGATGAGAAAGCAGGCGGTGGGGAACCCGGGCCTCGGGGAGGCTGGGGCAGCCCCTGGAGGGGAGCGGGCATCGGGTCCTGCGGAGGGCAGAGCCTGGAGACAGCCCGGTCTGCTGGGCGATGCTGCCCCCCAGTGGCGCAGCCGTCTCGGCCTTGCTGACTCTGCTGTGCCTGCCTGTGAGGCTCTCCCGGAAACCTGTGTGTCCCCAAGAGAACCAGCGAAGCAAACTGGGGTCACGTGAGCCACACGCTGAGTTGTCCCTGGACCTCCCAGCTTCTAGAGGAGGGGACTGGCTGTGACCCGGCCAGGCTCTCCGAGGGGCTCCAGGTCGTGCTCGCCCGTCTCTGCCACGCGTGCTCGGGCGCTGGCCCCGGCGGGCGCCCGGGGCTGTGGGAGGAGGGACGTGGACGCTCTGCCCACCCGAGCGCCAGCCTGGTGGGGTTTCTGGTGTTGGGGGGCAGTCTCCTCGGTGGCACTGGCGTGGGCAGGGCACTGTGGTCCCAGCACACTGATGGGGACAGGCGCTGCCAGCCCCACGCCACAGACGAGCAAAGGGCACCTTGCCCAGGGCCAGTGGCTCCCGGAGAGTGGAGCCCTCGTGGGGTGCGCGGGGCCTGGCCACCCCCACCCCACCCCCAGAACGTAACCACCCCATGAGCCCTCCTTGGGAGAGCTGCCTGCAGGGCACAGGGCAGGGGCAGGGGCAGGGGCAGGACACCACTGGGCTGAGCCCTCCTGCCCTCGTGGGCCCGGGAGGCCCCTGCAGCCGGGTTTGGGCAGACGCGTCCTGGTCCCTGTCAGTGGGGGCCTGGCCTCCTTCTCTGGGAGTGGGCACAGTCTCTACCATCCCCCGGTGGCCTGGGAAACTGAGGACCAACCAGAGACCCCACGGATCCGAAACATCCCCACTCCGTGGAGCAGGCGGGGCTGTGTGTGTGAGCTGCACTCAGAACAGCCCAGCCCACGTCTGCGACTTCACCCTCGGACCACCCCTGGCCCCCGGCACCTTAACCGTCTGGGGAGTGACCCGAGGCCTGGGCGACCCTCCTGTGCTGGGAGCAGCACTGAGGGTGTTCATAAGGGAACACTGTTTTGAGGAAAAGCCGACAGGCCCCATCAGAGACACGGTCTGACCTTCCCCGGGGCCTCTGGACGGCGCGTCCTGGCGGCCTGGCAGGAGCTCCCTCCTTTCCGGGGCAGTGGCGGGAAGGCAACGGGGACAGCCATGGAGGCGAGGACACGCTGGCCAGGGGCGCATGACGGAAAGGGGCACAGGACAGCAGGGGGAGCTTCCTGCAGGGAGGCTGTGGGCTTGGGCGGAAGGAAGGCCGCCTGCCCGCCCGCCCGCCCGGTGGTCCCCCAGCCCTCAGCCCTTGCAGGCGATCCCAACCCAGAAAGCCCACCTGCCGGGGGACTGCAAGAGCGCGACAATCGACACCGTGCATCACGCCACCTCGAGCGTCGGCTGCAGCCCAGGTGACCCCGCCCTGCCGCCTTACCTCGCACTTGCCGCGGAGGCCGGTCTCCTGCAGGCGGGACCAGATGCTCTGGATCCTCCCGGCGTGCTCGGGGTGGCTGTTGGTGTTGCCGCACGTGCACTGGTGCTTCAGCATCAGCGTGTCGTACACCAGGCCTGGGCGGGCAGAGACGCCGCGTCAGGGGCTGCCCAGCGACCTGCTGCCCCCCGGGAAGGCCGCCCGGCCCGCAGCAGAGCCGCCTCCCCCAGAGCGGACGGCGGCCAGGCCGAGTCTCCAGGAAGACAGGAAGATGCCGAGACAGAGGCGGCCGGGCCTGTCCGTCAGGCGCGCTCACGGCCCCACGGGGGCCCCCAGCAAGACCTCAGGGCTGGGCCGCGTGGGGGGCCGTGTGGAGGCCTGGGCTGACGCCTGCAGGGAGCCATTCTGGTCTTCCGCAAGCTAAGCCTGTCTGGCCCCGGGCCACCGCTGTCCCCAGCAGCTCTGGTGGACGGAGAACTGTCCAAGGTACTCGAGAGTTGAAAGAAACACAGGACTTGCGTCCTGCCCTTAGAACCCTCCGGAGTGGCTGGACACACGTGTGGAACAGAGCGAACACAAACACGGAAGCACAGGTCTAGCTGACACGAGCCCGACAGGATGGAATGGGAGCCCACGGCAACTGCAGGGGAGGCGACCACCGGCAGGGAGCCGGCCAGCCCAGGACCAAGCGCCAGTGGCCGGGGCTCTGCGTGGAGGAAGGGTGGCATGCTCAGACTGCGGGGACGGGTGCCGCCTGTGACCACGTGGCCCGCAGTGAAGGGGGACGTGCCTGGCCTGTCTGGGGCTGGGAGGGACGTGCTGGTGGCCATACCAGGACACGCTGGTCCACGCACGGCCACTGTGCCTGCCAGGCCCCGCCCACGAGGGAAAGGTCAGCCCCCGGTGACATCGGGCAGCGAGGCTGCCCCCTGTCCTTCCTTACACACCTGGGACTCCAGGATTGTGACGGGCAAGTCCCTGGCGAGGGGCAGCTTTTGGCCAGCATGTGCTTGTCCAGGCTGAGAGGGCAGAGAGAGCCGCAGAGCGTGGGCCTGGCGTCACAGGGACGCGCCCTACCTAGGACTTCTGACTCTGGGAAGCGACTCTCCCTCTCTGCGCTCCGGCACCGGGCAGGGAGGCAGCGCCACCAACCAGGCTTAGGTGCAGCTCAAGGTGATCCTGGCCCAGTTAGAGGACTGGCCCTCCGTGCACATCACTTCCCAAACTTCCTGGCTCTGTCTCTCATGAGTCAGGCTAATGGGAGTCAGTTCCCTGCACTTGGGGGATTCTGGGCTTGCTGGCGAAGCAGTGCTAGGGGGTGGGGTTTCTGGTGAAAAAGCAGCTGGGCAGGTGCAGGCTCACAGGACTGGACACACAGACACCTGCAACCAGCGCACCATGGCGTAAAGGAACGAAGGTGTGTGCAGGAATTTGAGATGGCAAAGCACACGTCTACGTATGGACACAAACTGCCCGCCGTGTGCGTGCATGCGTGTGTATGTGTGCATGTGTATAAACCACCAGGTGGCTGCCAACACCATGAACTGGACTGCCCATTCCACAGCGGCACCACGGCACGACAGCGTTTGCTGATAGTCACTGAGCGCGTGGCTGGACCCTGCGCGGTTGGCATCCCTTGGCAGGCGGAGAACCGGAGCGGGGAGTGCACGGGCTCCCGAGGCCGAAGGTGGTGGGGCCTCCCGGGTGCCAGGCAGCTCACAGAGGAGCTACGCCGCCGTGCACAGACGTGGGGAGACGCTGAGAGAGGGCGGAGCGTTAGCAGAAAACACAGGCTCAGCAGAACGTGTCTGTGTCTGTCTGCCTCTGCCTGGAAATCCATCTGGGAGGTTTAAACCCAGGCACTGACGGACTCCACCGGGTGGGACGGGGGCAAAGGGCATCTGCTAGGGGCTCCCATCACACCCATTCGTTTACAGTGAGCGTGCACTGCTGCACAAACTGAAAAAGAGCAAGAAAGACGGACTGAGAAAGGCCGCCACAAAACTGGGCCTCCCAGGAGTCCCCGCCGGCCGGCCGGCGGGCAGGCTGGTGCCAGGGTCCCTCTGGAGTGGCTCCGGGGTCCCCTCGCCTGGGCTGTGTCCTTTCAGGAACACATGAATATCTCAGTCAGTGGCCAAGGACTCATGGGGAGGCCACCACGGAGGGTCACATGATTGTGTGAGCTGCTGCAGTTTTTCTCTGCTTCCCTTCCTGAGAAGCAGCGTTTTAATTTCTGGGTAATCACTACTGAAATTTCTCTCTGAACACGACCGGCATCCTCCTAGGACCTGAGAAGGAGAACCTTGCGGAGCGCAGAACAGCGTGTGCAGAGCGCAGACAGACAGGACGTGCTGCGAGAACCATTTGAAGGATGCAGCTATTCTGTGTTCACACTTTTCTCTTAGTATGTCAAAACAGTGTTATTAAGTGTCAAGAATTAAATCACAACAACGGGCAGAGCTGTCCCCGCGTCCCTGCCTGTCCCCAGAGGCAGGTGCTGCCAGAGGCAGGTGCTGCCGTCCCTCTGCTCCCACCATGCAGGCTGGGGGACTGGGGGGGGGGCTGCGCCCTCCCAGCCCCAGGCAGCTCCAGGCCACGCGCCCAGACCGCCCTGCCTGTGCCCGGGCCACGGGCTCCCGCCCGCTCACCTGCCTGCCCAGCTCTCGTTCTGATCCTGACGAGGCAACTTTGGAGCAAAAGGAGCATCCCTGCCTGCGGCCTGCCCCGGCCCGAGGGGTGGGGACAGGCGCGGTGAGGGACAGCACAGGCGGGACCTCGGGGACCCACTGAGCTCTGCTCTTGTACAACTAACACCTGGTCAGTCCACAAATGACACCAGTGAGTCACTGGGGTCTCAAAGTCAAGGCCACTGACGTAGGCCAGGTACAAAGGACAGGTTGTGCATGAAAAAGCAAGTGCGTTGTTCCCGCCGAGCCTGGAGGGGAGCCCCCTTGCGGCCCCCATGTGGTGGGGGAACGCTCCCTGGAGGAGACCATGGCCCTCTGGGAAAGAGAACGGGGGCTTTTGAGCCCATGATGGGGCCCCAAAATAAAAGAATGTGGGGTGCGGAGTGGGCAGGGGCCCCCGGTGACTGGTCTGCTTGTCCCCCAGCCAGCGTGCCCAGAGCAGCCCTGCAGGCCAGTGTCGGCACGTGGCACGGGCCCCCCGCCCCCGGCCGGGGAGAGGCCAGCGCGTTACCTGTCGTGAACCGTGGCTTGGTGGGCGGTTCCTGCACGGACACGGGGAAGGTGGCGGACGCGGGCGAGGACTGCGCCCGGGACAGGGGCCTGTGGCCGCCGAAGGACACAGGGATGCCGGCGGCCTCCATGGACGCCTGGTAGTTCCTCAGCTGGTGGATGCGCTGCTGCTCCAGCAGGAGGGCTTGCTGCGGAGAGAAGAAACATCCCGCTCAGACTCCGCGGGCCCAGGGCCCAGCTCGGGACACCTGGGCCGTGAGGGGCAGCCCTGGCGGGTGTGGACGCGGCTCCCCGAGAGGCTGGGGCTTGCCTGGCGCACGGACGGGAGGCAGTCACCTGGCCAGGGGCCTGGGACACGCAGAGGGACAGGAGCCCCCGTGGGACACCAGGGGGTCCCACGGTGAGGTGAAGTGCCCGTCCTCGGGAGGCGGTGCACAGGCTGAGGTGCGAGTCCCCGGGGAGGTGGAGTGGCCTAGGTCACGAAGTCACCCCTCCCGGGCCAGCAGAGGACGCTTCCTCCAAGACTCCCGAGCCAGCCGGGGTGGCGGCAGCACAGCGTCCATGACACACGGCTGTGGGAGGAAGTGGAGCCCCCGGCCTGGACCCCCTCGGGTCCTGCCTCAGTTTAGATGAACAAGTTTGTGATTTTGGAAAACCGGCTCCAGATGGGCATGGGGCCCAGCCGGCGCCTCCGAGATGGGGAAGAGGGAGCTTCCCGTCCCGGCTCTGACCTCCCAGTCCCGGCTCTGAACTCCCAGTCCCAGCTCTGAACTCCCAGTCCGGCTCTGACCTTCCAGTCCCGGCTCTGAACTCCCAGTCCCGGCTCTGACCTCCCAGTCCCGGCTCTGACCTCCCAGTCCCGGCTCTGACCTCCCAGTCCGGCTCTGAACTCCCAGTCCCGGCTCTGACCTCCCAGTCCCGGCTCTGAACTCCCAGTCCCGGCTCTGAACTCCCAGTCCCGGCTCTGACCTCCCAGTCCGGCTCTGACCTCCCAGTCCCGGCTCTGACCTCCCGGGCCCAGCTCTGACCTTTCTGTCCGGCTCTGACCTCCCAGCCCGGCTCTGACCTCTCAGTCCCGGCTCTGACCTCCCGGGCCCGGCTCTGACCTCCCAATCACAGCTCTGACCTTCCTGCCTTTAGGCAGCGGAGGGGAGGGGGAGCAGCGGGAGCAGCACAGCCCCCCTGGGCCCTCCTGGGCGCCTGCATGGGCCCCACCTGGTTTGAGAACCAACCGGCCCGTATGGTATTTCTTTTTAAAACTTAGATACCCCACGGCACATTCACTTCTGCAAATTGCCAGACGTACCGCCAGGTTCCCCTGCTGGACAGGCCTGCTTATTTCTCTTCAGAGAGTGTAGAAAACACGTGTTTCTAATAACCATCTCGTGCTTGGCCTATACCATGCCCCTCTGTCGTGAGCTAACGCTGATCTATGAGAAACCAGCCTTAGAAAGTCACTTAAGTGGTTTCCCACTTCCTATCTGGGTAGTAACAGTGAACTGAGTTTCAGCCACAGCAGGAGATCTGCCACCTCCGAACCTGCGAGCCCCCCGGCCCCCTGACAGGGAAGGGGCCCCCGGCCCGGGCACAGAGCAGCACCCCATGCGTCTACGCCAGGCAGGCCAGCGGCTTCACTAAGTGCTCGGCGGGACCCCACACGGTGTTGTTTAGTGCCTGGGGGCAAAGGAAGTGACCCCAGAAATCAGACACGGGCCACCCTGCGAACGACAACTGGAAAAGGCATAATCAAGTCAGCCCCTGGGCACGAGGACAGGGTGGCCTCCCCCGGCCGAGCAGCCTCCAGACGCGTCTGAGCGCTGCCCGTGTGTTGCAGACTTGGGCCGGGCGCTCCGGGGCACAGGGCTTCGTGCCCGTCCACAAGGTGCAGACATTTTAAACTTTAGATAAGAACGAAGCGGTCTGGCTGGGTGCAGCGGCCCACGCCCACGATCCCAGCACTCTGAGAGGCTGAGCCCAGGAGCTCCAGGCTGCACGGAGCTGTGATTGTGCCACTGCACTCCAGCCTGGGCAACACAACAAGACCCCATCTGTTTAAAAAAAAGGCACGCAGCAGTCTGTTGCAGAGTCACTCTGTCCCTGTCTGTGGAGGTGCTGCGAGGGGAGGTGGAGACACAGCGTTGGGCACACGCCTGGGCTGTCACAGAGCTGGGGAGGGGGTCAGCGGGGCGGCCGGCGTGGAGCCAGGCGAGAGAGGGGGGAATGCGCCGGCGGCTCCCGCACCCCAGACGCAGCGCCCAGGCATCCGGCCCCACTGCCGTGGATACGATCCAATTCCATTGCTCCGGCTCCCTGGGCTCATTTCCTGGGGACATGCAACCTCCCCGGTGGCACCAACTTGCTGCCCAACTGTCCTAAGTATTTCTGCTGACTCCGTAGTTTTATTTTTCACTGGAAATTAACAAGTCATTCACTGGATTCCTTCAACAGTCTCTTGTAAGTTTGGTTATCATGTGTCAGTGCCCTGGAACCTTACTGGCTTTGGGTACCCAAATCACATCCTTTCCTTGATCTGTAAGGCTGGTGGCCAGCAACTACTTGGCCCCAAAAGGTCCTGGTTTCTGATCAAACCCCACCTACTCTTTTGATCAATTAATGAATCAATCTCCCTTTACTTACCTTTAGCGATTATGCCAAGTCCCGCTAACGCTTGGATTTCGTGTTAGTTTGCAGCCTGCAGACCTGAAGGAAGGCCATCCCTAGGGAACCTGGGCCCGTCTGGCAGGCGGCAGGCACGTTAACACCCACAGTGGGCAAGCGTCTGCTAGCCAGGTCCGGCTAACGCCGCACAGAAACCACGTCCCCCCTCACTGGCCGGGACAGGAGGGTGAGGCTCTGGCCAGGGCAGCATAAGGAGGCCCTTCGGCCTTCTATGGTAACTGTGCAGAGGACACTGGACGTGGGGACCGGGGGGGGCCGCCGCGTGCCTGGCTCCTGGTGCCCCTCCCCGACCGCCGCGGTCACCTGTCTAAACAGCAGCTCCTGCTCCGTGGGCTGGCGCAGGCCTGGCTCTGCCTCCCGAGGGGGCCCCGCCTCGTCCTCCTCGCTCTCGATGGGCTCCTGCTTGACCTGCACGCCGGCCAGCGCGAGCGCCTCCTTCTGCCCCGGCAGCCGCTCCAGGTACGGCTCGTCCAGCAGGGCCTGGTGCTCGCGGAGCTCCTCCTCGGTCTCCTCGGGGTGGCTCTCGGGCTGCCGGGCCGGCTCGCTGGGTTTGGGGATGATCTGCAACCAGGAGCGACAGCGAAGTTCAGCGCGACCCAGGGCAGCCGGGCTCGTGGCAGACACTGCCCTTCATGAGCACACCACGGAGGACGCCCAGGGAGCGCTGCCACCTGGAACCAAGGCCAGGAGGCGCCTTCCTGTCCCCACAGGACAGAGACCCAGGCGCTGTCCGTGGTGCTGAGGAAATGACACCCAGCCCACGGAGAGGGCGACCCAGTCCAGGGAGGTCACACCGGCATTGGGCGTGCACCCAGCACCCCGGCGCGGTCGGGTGCAGAGAAACGCGGAGCACATTGCAGGTGTCCCCTGCCCGCTGAGGGTAGCGTGTGTGTGAGGGGGAGAGGCCAGCGCTGACCTCACAGCCGCAGCTGCCGAGAGACACCCTCCGCCCCACACCCAGCCAAGAAGACCTGCGCCCACAGCGCCTCTCGCTGGACCCCAGGGACATGCCACAACCTCCGCCCGCAGCCTCCGCGAGGGGCAGGTGGCAGGTGCTTCCCTCTGCCCCCTGCCCACCTCCCTGCCAGCTCACAGCCCAGTCTCGCTGTCCTGGGCCGGCTCCTGCGCCCCTTTCCACCCCGGGCAATCTCTTCCTGCTACAGATTCCTGATGCCGCTGTCTCTGCGTGGGGCCTGGGCTCGCTCTTCATTTCCAGAGCCGACGGCTCGCGAGACACCCTGGCTCAGCCGGCGCAAGCTGAACTCGGCAGCCTCTTCTAAGCCTCTGCCTCCTGCCTCCACCTCTCCTGGCCAAGGGGACCTCCCCATGCCAGCCGCCAAGTCGTGCCCTGTGCCTCCCGCGCAGCCTCACCTAAGGGCCTCTCTCCCATGCCTCCTTCCGGGGCCCGCCTTGCCTGGACTGTGGCTGTGGCCTCCAGCTTCGACCCTCCCGACCTTTTCTCCAAGCGGCACTGACGGCGAGCTCTCAGACGGCCAGCTGGCTTCTCAGTCCCCTGCTGAAAGCCCTGCGAGTGCTCCTCCCGGGCTCCCCCGCCGTCTGGCCCTGCTCACCACGGCCTCCCCGCCCACAGCCACCCACAGCTCACCGGGCCGAGATTCCTTCGGTCCCCAGCCCCTGCCACGCCCTGCGGCTCCTAAGGCCTCCAGCACTTGCTGCTTTCTCCAGAAGCTTCTCTGACCCTCCCCAACCTCCCGTGGCCGGCCCTCTGCAGTCCCAGCATGGCATTTCCTGCAGTGCTGTGGCTGTGGCTGCCCCTGTGTCCATCCACCTTCCCGCCAGTCTGCCAGTCACGCGAGGGAGGGACCATCTCCGACTCATCCGCACGGCACGCAGCCACCACACATCAAACATCCGCCAGGTGGGCGGGGACGTGGAGGCCCCCAGGCGGGGGCAGGCGGACAGCGGTGTATAGCGCGGACTGCAGGTCACGCTGGGGCTGCAGGGAGCAGCAGGGCTGAGGCACAAAAGGCCACAAGCAAGGGCGGGGGACCCTGGCGTCATCTGACACAGGTGACCCCTGAACACTGATGGTGACATCAGAGTGTCCGCTGGAGTCTGCCAAGGCCTGTCTGGGTGGGGACAGGGAGGACAGGGGAGCTGGGGGGACTTGCTGTCCCTGAGTGTGCCCAGTGCTGCACGAGGCTGCGTCTCACAGGGACCTCGGCACCTGGCACCCGGGTCTCGGCTTCTGGGACCGCTTGGTACAGAGTCCCCGGTGCTCCCAGTTCCTGCCGCTCCCCTAGGGCCTGGCGTGGTCTGAGGGTGGCAGGCTGTGGCCCGCCAAGTGGCTTGCAGGAGGCTCGCCGGGCGGCGGGGAGACTGTCACAGCAAACTGCTTTGGGGGACAGCAGGGAGCGCAGGCCCCGGAAGGAGAACTTGGAGGAAGCTCTGGAGGCGGCGGCGCAGAGCTGGGGAGGACGTGGAGGAAGGCAGGTGGCAGCTGGACGGACACACAGGTGGCCCGGCCTCCAGGGGGCGGAGCCTCCTGCCCCTGGGCGTGCAGGTGCGAGGGGGGCGGCGGCAGAGCGAGGTACGGACAGGGGCGCAGACCATGGGCTGAGGACGCAGGACGGGCTCAGATCCCCGAGGCCGCGTGGACGGGAGGCGCTGGCTGCCCCTGAGGTGAGCAGGCCGCCGCCAGGGGTGCTCTACGTCCCTCCACACGGGGCAGCGGGAGGGCTAAGGGCTGACCGTGAGAGCGCCGCGGACTTCTGCTGGTTCCTGCTCGCCATCTCGCTCACCCGGGTGCTCGCGCCTGCAGGGCCGGGAAAGCGCGGCTCCTCTCCCAGGTCTGCCTGGGGGTGTGGCTCGCCGCCCCCACGCGCTTAGGGCGATTCCCTGGGGTGGGGACCCTACTCGTGCAGCCCCTCTGGGAGGGTCTGCGGAGGAGGAGGAGGAGGAGGAAGAGTGGGCGGTAGCGGTGGCGGTGGCCGGGAGTAACACTGGGCCGAGGACAAGGACGGTCAGAGCGTGGCAGCGTGGGCTGGGGCACCCTTACTTCCCACATCTCCTCGCCAGGGCGGAGGCCTCTGGGCCCCGCTGGAAACGTCAGGACACTTGGTGCGTCAAGGACAGAGAAGCTCAGCTGAGGCAAAGGACCCTTGTTGGGAAACCCAAGGTGTGGCCGTGGATCTGCCCGGTCCCTCCGGAGAGCGTCCAGGAGGGCCGTTGCCAAGGCAGCAGCCACCCGTGTCACAGCAGGCGCGTGTGTGGCCGGCCTCCCCGGCCTCAGCCACAGACAAAGCCTGGCTCTCTCTCTCCCGCTGTGAAATCCGGCTCTGCCTCGCACTGGCCTGGCTGTGGCCTGGGACACGCTGTGGAGCTGGCCTCGGGAGGGAGCTTGCTGCAGCAACGTGGCAATGACGTGGCGTGGCAGCGGCGTGGCAACGACGTGGCAGTGGCATGGCAGCAATGTGGCTGTGATGTGACAACAATGTGGCAGCAGCATGGCAACAACGTGGCAGTGGCATGGCAGCAATGTGGCTGTGATGTGACAACAATGTGGCAGCGGCGTGGCAACAACGTGGCAGTGACGTGGCAGCAGGGCGGCAGCAGAAAACACGAGCAAATCAGCTCTTTGTAGCCCACTGGCCTTCTGGACGCTGACAGCCCCTTTATCAATTAAGTCAGCGCAGACGCACGTCCACATTTGGAACAATACATTTTTTAAAAAGTCAGACTGGAGCTCAGGGCCAAAACCAAACTGGTAAACGGCCAGCACTTAAAAACTGCTGGACAGGCTCATAACTGGACCACCCAGGACGTGAGTCCAAGTTTTCGCATTCAAGACCGAGAATGTCACGAGGAAGGGAACCACATCCAACCCTGGGAACGCTGAGCGAGCCCCCAGTGCACGGGGCCGCGGCACCCCGTGGCGCCCCACCCGCTGTGCGGAGCCTTCAGCAGGGCGGCCTCCTGCTCCTGCAGCCGAGGAAGAACAGCGCGCATCGCCAAACACGCCTTCCCCACGGCACCCGGGCCAGACCCGCCGCGGTCGGGGCAGGACGCGCCGGCAGACACAGACCAGAGGGCGGTTTTGCCTCCGGGTTCCAAAACTCCACACGTCTCTGCGGCATGCATTCTCCAGAAAGTTCCTTTCACAGCAGACCTCTATTAAACGCCGCTGCCTGCAGGGACCTGGACACCGAGGACAGACGCCAACACGCGGCTGGAGGGCCCGGCCACGTCCACGCCAGGGCCTGAGGGATGCTCGTGGGTCTCATCTGCCTCATAGCGTTTTCTGAGCCCGATGAAGCAGTTCTCCCGGACAGGGACGTGGGGGAGGCTGGAGTGGACACGCCGGGCTGCTGGCGGTCTTCTCTTCTCTGGGTGACACTGCTGGAGCAGCAGCACGGTGGGCCTGGGCTCAAGGCGCCGCGGTGCAGGCGGCATTGCCTCTACACAGCTGCCAGACGCCCTCGGGGGTTGAGCCCAGGGAGTAGCACCCCGGGAGGAAGGGCAGGCGCGACAGTGCTGGGCGGAGCTGGGTGGGACCCCGTCTCCCTGCACATCCCAGGAAAACACTGTACAAACGCTTCCATCAACTGTCACCCGCTGCCGTGAATCAATCAGGCAACAAAATCCGGTGAGATTACCCGGCTCTGAATCGCGCCTTTCAGGAGTAAGCCACGTGTGAATAGGTGTCTCCTGTCTCCCTCAAACTTCCCACCTGTTACTCGGATAATGACATAATACAACCAACAGCCAGAGCAGTCTCGAGAAGGGCGAGCGTGAGCACTTTCACACTCGGGGGAGCGGCGCTTGGCAGGCTCCCGACTCGCCCACGCCCCGCGCCGTCCTGTCCCGGCGAGGGGGTTGCCCGCGCCCACTTCTGAGGCGCCGTGCGCTGTCTGGCGCCCAGGCCTGCGGGGCCGAGGGGGACCTGGGGGAGTGGGTACACCTACGTGGCAGTGCACGGAGGGCACCTGCCCCACGCAGGGGTCAGGCCCTGGGGGAGGGTGTCCTCTGCCACATGCCCCATCCCTGCCACGGAGAACACCAGGGCACGGGCTTGGGCTGGGGCTGCAGCTGGCTCCCACCCCCAAGGCAGCCCCCCACCTGCACACCATGCAATGGGAGCCCTCGGCCCCTGGGCGGCTGAGCAGACCCCTCTGGCTGGAGCCGTAAAGCTCACGGACCTGGCGGGAGCGAGCTGCTGATGGTGCCGCAGTCAGGATGGCTGGATGCAGCCCCCTCCCCCTGTGAGAAGGTGACAGATGGGGGGGCTTCCCTCCTCACGCACCCCTGCACCTGCACGGGGATCCTGTCCACTCACACCAGCAAACCTCTCTCCTCCCTCATCCTTTCCTTCCTCAGGGAGCGGCAGGAGACCCGGCCTGCCGAGGGCGGAGGCCCCCAGACCAGACCCGCCGAAGCCAGGGTGAAGCCCGCGCAGCAAAGACCCCGTGGGGAGACACCTGTGCCCCCCAAGCCCGCCAGGCCTCTCCAAGTCCCCCCACGCTCCCCTCCCATCATCTCAGCCTCTATTCCTGTAACAACTTCACTGAGATGTAATTCACATACCATAAAATTCACACTTTTAAATTATATAATCCAGCCGTTTTTAGCACACTTCAGAGTTGTGCAACCATCGCCATGGTCTAATCTTAGAGCATTTCTATCATCCTTAAAGGAAGCTCGGTGCCCGTAGGCCTCCGCGCCCCGTTTCCCCACGGCACCCCGCGCCGTTAACCACTGCCCTGCTTCCTGTCTCTCGGGGCTTGCCTGCCCTGCACACGCGTGTGAATGGAAGCGTGTCCTACCCGGTATTGTGACAGGCCTACTGCACTGGGCACAACGTTTTCAAGGCTCCTACACGCGCCAGCGTGTGTGAGAACCTCACTGCTTCTCAGGGAGGAATGGCGTCCCATGGCACGGACAGTCCACGTCCGTCTGGCCGTCCGTCACCGCGTGGACCCGGAGCTGTCTCCAGGGCGTGGCTATCACGGGCAATGAACGTCAGGGGTGGGCTCCGTGCGCACCTGTGTCCACCTCTGCAGGCCACCTGGCCGCCGTGTGCAGCCTTCGGAGGAACCTCTGGGCTGTTCTCCAAGCAGCTCATCTCTAATACTACAGGTGCTTTATGTTAAACGCCAGCTCATCTCACTCTAATACTACAGGTGCTTTATGTTAAACGCCAGCACTTGAAAGAAGCGCATTCAGACTCTGTTTCCCTGCGAACCAGCATCCCAGCACGGCCTTCCTGCTCCTCCCTCCTGAGAGCCGACCCGAGTGGCTCCCAGCAGCTCCGCAGGGACGCTGACCTGCTCGGGCTGCCCTGGGCCCCACGCCGCCTCTGCCGGTGTTCCCCCGACCAGCAAGCATGCTACGAGCTCCGTGTGACTGAGAACACTCCACACCCTTGCACATTCAGGGCTTTGGGCTGTAGCTTTGCCTACAGACACACTGAGTAAATGGCCTTAGCAGACCCAAGGGAAAAACCGCCCAAGTACAACACGCCACGCTCTGATTCAAGTGCGTCCTGTGCTCGGGGCGGTCCCACTGCCCTCACGCTTGCTGAAGGGGACAGGGATGGGGACAGCCGCGGCTTCCTGCTGCAGGTGAACTGCCCTGAGCCCAGTTCCGCAAAGCGACCCCCTGCCCGGCTCTGTGCACGGCCGGAGCTCGCGTTCGACGTTTCTCGTTGGTGCCGCCCGGCCTGGCCCGAGGTGGGAGGGCCGACGCTGAGCAGCAAGGCGGCAGGGCGGGCGCACGGTGCCCCGCGAGGCTGCCCCGCAGACCCACCTTGCTCATGTGCAGCTGCTGCTGCTGGAACTGCTGCTTGTGTTTCTCCAGGAACTGCTGGTGCTGCTGCTGGATCACCAGGTGCTGCAGGGCCTGCGCGTTCTGCGGCAGCGGCGCCGACTGCGTGCGCCCCAGCGGGCGGTGCTGTCGCAGCTTGTGGATGGAGGGGGACACCCGGTCCGCGCCGACCAGCGACTGTGCGTGGAGGGGCAGGGCTCCCAGGCCTGAAAGATACCAGTCTGAAGATAACATGGAGGAAGAAACAGCAGAGGGGAAGAGGAGGAGGAAGAGAGGAGGGAGAGGGCTGCTCAGTAGGCGACGGGGGCCACCGGGCTGTGCCCCTGCCGCCCGGGCGCCTCCTCCCAGACCCCGGCTTGGTTCAGGCTGGGGAGACAGACGGCCATCTGGTAGCATCAGGCTGACGCGGGACAGGCCGGGAGGCCCCTGTGCCAGGCTGCGAAGAGCCAACGGGCCCTTCCTGAGAGTGGCCACCACACGGCCATCCCTCCGGCCAGCGGCCTGCGGGGGAAGATGCCGCAGTCCCGGGGCCTGGGGGGTTGCAGGGGACCCCTCCCTGACTGCCGCAGGAGCTGAGTTGTGAGGGAAAAACAACTGTCCTCAGGGTTTGGATCATTTTAAGAGCCCCGTAATGCACTGAGTTTATGCACAGAGACGGCACGACAATCAAACCCTGACGCGCGCGCGGACCCTGACACATGTTGTGGAAAACACCTTCCGCAGCGGCTGCGCCCTGCCAGCTGCACGGAGGACACCGGCGTCACCACACCCCACCTACCCTGTAGTTTTAGGTTAAAAGGTCTGTTTTGATAGGAGATGATCTTGCTTTAATTGGCATCTGAATCCCGATTTAAAACGCAACCTATTCCTGTGAGTAGCTCGAGAAACATTTTTCCTTATGTACCCTTTTCATCCATCTGCATGTTCTCTTTTGCCTGTCAGAGCCTCTCCCCTGGTCACCTGCTCCCCTGGTGGCCTGAGGTGGGTGAGCCCTCAACATCGCTCAGGGTGCAAATGGCCACGGCCAAGGGCGCCTGGCCGGGTGATAGGACAAACGAAGAGGCCGCACCAGCTCTGGGTGGCCCTGCGCGGGCAGCTCCGGGACTGGGCACCTGTGAAGCAGCTCGATGTCCCTGCCCACGGGCTGGCAGCTTGTCCGCTGCAAGGGCTCTGGTGACATCCCGGGACACCTGTCCTCAGCGACCCTGAAGCCAGGGGTGGCCGGGGCGCCCGTGTGTGGCCGGGCTTAGCTGTGCCCAGGGGGTGTGCTCCCCTGAGCACCTCTGTCCCCCCTTCACAGGGCTATCTGCACATTTAAAAACCACCGCGTCCCGCGCAGACAGAAAGAGCACACGCACAGGAAGAAGACCCAACCCCAGCAACACCGTCCTTCGCCACCTTGTCATAATTCATCCACCTGCTCCCTAAACCACCACCCCTTTCACCCAACCCCGTACTCCCTGGAAAGACGTGCTGCCTTAAATTTTACTGTCAGGGCTTGGCTGCGCAGCTAAAGCAAATCACTCAAAAGGCGGGATTATTCCCTGACAAAGCAAAAAAAAAGGAAGAAAAAGACAAACATCCTACAGAAGGCATTTCGGCACCCACCAGCTGCAGACCGCGATGTCACAGGGGTCACGCTGTGTTGGGCGGTCACACAACGCTGCATTTATGGGATTCAAAGTCTACTGAGTCACTGAAAAGGCCTCTCTCGAAAAACACTGGGAAGCTAAAATCTATTTTCCTCAGTGTTTTCCCCAAAGTCTCAGCACGTACCCGAGTCAAGGGTGACATTGGGGACCAAGCCGCAGGGCCCCGCGCTGGCGGTGCCCGCAGAGGGGACACAGTGACCTCACCGGGCCTCGGCTTCCGGCTCCCCCCGGGGGTGAGGAACGGGCGACTCAAACGTGCGGGCCGGGCGGGAGGGCTGCGCAGCCTCCCAGGGCGCCTCCTCTCGGCGCCCTCCCCGGTCACCGGGGGTTTCCAGACCCCCGCCTCACGCGGGGTGGAAGGCCTCCCTGGGGACACAGGCCATGTCCCTGGGGGCTGGCCCCTCACTGTCTCCCGGCCCCCTCCTGCCCACCCACCGGAGTTTCATGCTAGCGCCTCTCGGGGTGAGTCCCGGGGCCACCGCACGCGGGGACAGTCTCCCACGGCGGCCCCCTCCTGCCCACCCACCGGAGTTTCATGCTAGCGCCTCTCGGGGTGAGTCCGGGGCCACCGCACGCGGGGACAGTCTCCCACGCCATCACTGGAACGTGAGCGCCCTGACCTCGGGGGACCGACCACCGGCCGGCGGTTTCCGACGCGGACCCCTGAAACCATTATGAGAAGGAGTTTCTGACGGCAGGCCGCCGCGCTCTGGTCTCAAGGACGCGCTGTCTTGGACGTTCAGGGACAGAATCCTCGTACACTGGGACAAAATTCCGCGGCAGGTGACCCAGCGGCCTGCGGGGCTGGCTGCGCCCTGCTGGGTTGGGGCGTGGGCACGGAGCCTGGCTCCTGAGCTCACAGTGGCCCCTGGCTCTGGCTCCCCGCTGGCACCGGGCCGCCCTCCCCACGGCTCTGGCACCCCACATGCGGCAGGGCTACCGGGAGGAAGGCAGCTGCGGGGTCTCCAGCACAAACCAGCACGGCAAACCTGCCACGAGACACCGATGCTCGCTGCGACCACTCAGCACCGCTCAGCACCGCAGGCGACCACCAAGAGGCGGGAACACGGTCTCTGCTCCACAGGGGAACGTACTTCCAGCAAGGGGGGAGGGGGACCGCGCCTGAGCGAAGCCACAGGAAGAGGCAGGATGAAGCCACGCAAACGTGGACGGGCACGGGGGAGCCTGCGCCGAGGGGCAGGGAGCCGAGGGCGCGGGACGGAGGAAACGGCCCCTGGGAGCAGCACTCACCGCGGGCGCCTGTAGCGGCCGGGCCGGCGCTGAGCACACAGGCCTGGCTGGTGTCCTGGGCAGGGGAGGAGAGGACGAGGCCCCATGGAAGGTCCACGAGGACACGTTGGGACTCTGTGCCAGGCCAGTGCTCCCGATACACTGTCCGCGATCACAGAAGCGCTGGACAGGGCAGCCACGGCCACACAGGCACTGCTGCTGCACACGTGGCTGGGAACCGAATCTGGTTTCAGCTTCCATTTGAAGACTTAACAAGTGCGCGAGGCTGGCGGCTCCCGTACCAGCGGCCCCTCTGGACACAGCGGGCGCTCGGCGGCTGCAGAAGACAGGCTCGCTTCGGAGGCCTCTCCCCAGGACAGGATGGGGTGATCCCAGCGGACCCGACCCGGGCCGAGCTCTTGGGGGGATTTCCCGGGACACAGGGGCCGGAGGGTTGAGAGCAACAAAACCAAGAGCAACTGCCACAACCACAGCGACCGGCACCTAAAGGGGCTCCTGGCGCCAGGCGCTGTCCTGCGTGAATACCCGACCCGCTGCACCCTCCTCACACTCAGTGAGGCAGATCTCAGCGTGCCCATTTTACAGACGGGACAACGAGGCACACAGCAAATGAGTGGCTCCCCAAGGTCACCAGGTGGGATGTAGCTCGGGTGCAGGCGTCCGCGTGTCTACGTGGCACGGAGACGCTGCCCTGAGGCCTCCAGCTGGGGTGCGGGCAGAACCACGGCCCAGGAACCTGCAGGGGCCGTGCGGGAGAGAAGGGGCGCGTGGGTTTTCGAGGGTGGCACAGGTCACATCGGCCCGGAGGCTTCTAGGGAAACACACGGCCCGGCACGCTGGGCCCGGAGGGACAGCAAGACAGGAGCCCGCTGGGCCTGCGGGCCTGGGAGGGGTGCGCTGGGGAGCCCCAACGCCAACACTCAGGGCGGTCTTGAGGCTCGAGGGCCACCAACCGCACACGAGGGAAGAAGCAACGTCGTCAACCACGAGAGGAAGCCGAGGTCTGCAAGTCTATTGGAGAGGTGAGATTCTCGCAAAATCGTCACTGAAGGTCTACAGAGAGGCTGCTCCCCAGGGCAGGCGCCGCACGCGGCCAGGCGTGCCACTTAGCCGTGCGAGCAAACCGACTGAGAGAAGGGAGGGGACAGGCGTGGAGCAAACCCTAGGAGGCTGCGGGGCGGGGCACCACACACGGCCAGGCATGCCACTTAGCCGTGCGAGCAAACCGACTGAGAGAAGGGAGGGGACAAGCGTGGAGCAAACCCTAGGAGGCTGTGGGGCCGGGCATCTTTTCCATCCCACAGATGACAGGGGAGAGCAGCTCAGGCGCCCCTCAGACCGTGCCGTCCGATGCCGGCACTAACAGACGCAGACGAGGCGCCGGGTCAGCTCGGGAGGGCGCGCACGGCCACCGCTCCCTGCCTGCAGCCCGGGAAAGCGCCCAGGCTGCCGCGCTCCCTGGCTGTCCCTCGGGCCCTCAGCTCTGCACAGGGCAGGACACACGCAGAAAGGGGCCAGGCACAGCGTGGGGACCCTCCGTGTGGCTCCGGCGGATGCAGCCTCCATTCTCGGGGAAGAAGGGGTCCCCCGTCCACACGGGCATACGTGAGCAGCACAAAACGAGAAAACAAAACCAAAATGCGCCCGTGCGCCAGACCAAACCAGAACCAAAAGATCAAGCACACCAGGCCACACCCAGACATGTGTGTCCTCAGTGCTGTGGTCCGTAACACGCCAAGCTCCTGTGTTTGCAACCCAGTTACACGTCACAGAGCGTAAACGGCACAGCTCTGAGGTTACTTTAGCTTTTAATTGTGAATAAACAGACTTTTAGGAAGCCAAAGTAAGGGTGACCTGTGCAGTGAGGGTCCTGTCTGGTTTTATAGGCAGTACCACACGCCCCATCATTTCTGGAGCAGTACTTTCATAGTGCTGTTGCTATGCAAATTTAACAAAAAATTTCTTATATATCCTGTGAGTTGCATTTTTCTGAATACAACCGTCCTTGGACAGTTGCATGTCTGTGCAAAATTCCCGGTGCTAACAGAAACCACTACCAGGGCCGTGCTGAGCTCCCGCCACTGGCCGATTCCAGCCAGACCCAAACCCAGATGGAGAGCCAGCGGCCTCCTCTCGAGAAACTAAGAACCGTAAGTGGCGTCTAGTGTCGCTCCTTCTACCTGACGTTGCTGTGAGACCCGGTTTGTGGTCGGAGCCGAGACGGCTGAGCGACATGCACAGAGACCGCGGGTGGAGACAGGCCTCCTCCCGCCCTTTCCAGGTCGGACACCGGCCCGCACCGCCCGGGGGTGCAGGGGCTGCCGTGGGGCCGCGGGGGCTCACCTGTGACCAGGGGCGTCTGCGCGGGCGGCTGCTCCAGGAGGACCATGTGCTGCAGGAGGGGGTTGTGCGCCGCCCCGTCCCGCTCCAGGGGCGAGGTGCTCAGGTAGGGAGCCAGGTGGGTGCCGGGGAAGAGGGGGATCCTCTGCTGGAGGGCCGGGAGGGCGAGTCTCTCGGCATCCTGCTGGCCGGCCGCGCCCTGCAAAGCACAGGCGCGATGCACAGGTGCGATGCTCCGGCGGAAAGACCCGCCAAGACCACCCCACGCCACACAGACCCACGGAGGACACGGCCACCACACGCCACACAGACCCACAGAGGACACGGCCACCCCACACCCCACAGACCCCACGCCACCACATGTCACACAGGACCCCACGGAGGACACGGCCACCACAATTCACACAGCCCACGGACGGACACGGCCCACCACATGTCAGCACAGAACCCACTGGATGCCACGTACCACCCATGCCACACAGACCCACGGAGGCCACAGCCAGCACACTGACCCACGGAGGCCACCGTGGTCCACCACAACGCTACACAGACCTACGGAGGCACGCCACCCACATGCTCAACACAGACCCACGGAGGCCATGTTCACCCCCACGCCACACAGACCCACGAAGCCCACGGCCACCCACATGTCACACAAACCCGACCAAGGCCACAGCTACCCCACGCCCCAGGCCCCAAGACACAGCGGCCCATCACACAACCACGACAGACCCATGGGAGGCCCACGGCCACCACGTGCCACACAGACCTACGGGGAGGCCACGGCCACCAAATGCTCACACAGACCCAACGGAGGGCCACGGCCACACACACCGACACAGACTCACAGAGGCCAGTAGCCACCAGCATGCCGCACACAGACCTACGCGCAGGCCACCCGGCCAGCCACATGTCACGACAGACCTCATGGAGGGTCCACGGCACTACAACACCACACAGACCCAGGAGGCCATGGGCAACCCCTACCACCACACAGACCCCACGGAGGCCACGGCCACCACACACCACACAGACTACGGGAGGCCACGCCACCACACACCACACAGGACCTACGGGAGGCCACGGCCACCACACCACCACACAGACCACGGTGAGGCCGGACTTACGGCCAAAGGACCTGTGGCGGGGCAGCCCCCAAAGTGATGTTGGGCAAGGACGGGCGACGTGTAGAGAGGGAGTGGAGCCACCGAGCCTCCCGGTCACGAGTCTGTGCGCCAAACCTGGTCTGGGGACAGAACACATGGTGACCGTCACACACAGGGTCTGACACAGCAGCGTGAGCAGCACACGCCAGGAAAGCGACAGCAGACAGCGCTCCGCGGCAGATGCACTGGACTGCGATGCCCGAGCGCAAACGCGCACCTAACAGACCACGGCAGCCGCGACGCCTCGTTTGACAGCACGCCACGGCATGGACACGGGTCCGGGAGGCCTGAGTCCGCTCCTCCTGGTGTGGTTCTTCCTCTCTCACCTTTCCCACGGTCATCTTGTGTATATAAAACTCCAATTTGCCTATTACCATAAAACTATCACAAGAAAAGCAAGCGTGATATATTTACAAATATATATTTTGGAGTTGGGAATGTCTTTCCAGCCATGACATCAAAGGCAGAAACCAGGAGGGAATTTTGGATTGAAAGAAATTCACCTGAGAGGCAGGTGACGAGATAGACAACTGCACTGTTCACACTTCTTACGACTTCTGTGACGTGGTCTATTAATTTGTAGTGGCTTAGCTTACGGATCACTTGATCTGCAAAAACTAACACGGAACTGCAGCCATGTAGGCCCACCCAAGTAAGGCGCTGCTACCACGTTAACTGTCCCGTGCACAACTGATAGATAAAAACAAGCGTCTCCGACTACCGTTAACAAGATGCGACTGGCATCACCTCGCAGGGAGGAACTAACTTTAGGTTGCAGCTCATCACCGGTGGAGACCTCAGCGATGACGTCAGTCATCTCTAATCCTTGAAATAAGTACTTGGCGTGTGAACTGCCACGTGAGTTGTATTTAACTCACGCTAGTTTTGAGCCCGGGGCCTCGTGAAGCCCACGTAACTCACACGTCTCTTCACCTTGGGAGCTTTGGGAACTATTTTCCAAGTTGCATATAACTCACGCAACAGAAAACAATAAAAAATAACAAATCTTTCATTCGCTTAGAAAGGATCATTTTGTTTTCAATGTTTTTTTTTCCTATTTTCATAATAAAGCACTGTGGCCCCAAGGAAAATTTTTTCTAGTGTGGCAGTCAGCGTGTGTAAACGGTAGGCTGAAGACAGGCACTAAAAGAAACAGATGTATAAAATAAAAATAAGAGAAAACGGGGATTAGGCAACCTAGAGGCAGCAGGCAAAATCCATTCTTAGCGCTAATCTTGATTCCTAAAAATCTCCTTAAACATAGAGTCTAGAAATTCGAAATGAAAATGCTAAGAGCCTGTGCCTGTGCAGCCCAGCTGAGACTTGCCAACCCTCTGGAAGGGCAGGACTCACTTCTAAATATTTAAGAAGGAAGGTAAATAGCTGTATTCAATAAATTATAGCCTTCTGCAAGTGAGGGAGAACTCAGAAAGAACCTCCCACTCACTAGCACTCTCTGCCTCGCCCAGCAGGCGTCAATTCTGCCTCAATTCTTCAGAAAACTCAGTGCCAAAGCGGCCGTCCCCCATGCAGTCACCCTGTGGGCCCACAGCCAGGCCGGCCGTGTGCACGCCCCCCTGCTGCCCGCCAGCCCCTGCCTGTCCAGGTCAGCTGGGAGCCGTGCAGACGCGGCCCTGGGCTTCCGACCTGGCTCTGTCCTGGGTCCTGGCACAGGGTGACAGGCACGCGTGGGACACAGACGGGGCGTCTTGAATCAGGGCGCGAGATGAATGCGCGGAGTGAGGGTCCCGGAGAGTCACCTGGAGGGTCCCAGGGGAGTACCTGAGACAGCCCAGCTCCCTCTACCCTCTTCCCTGCTAACGGCCTGCGTCTCTGATATCACTCCCTCCCAGTGACTCCGGAGTCCCCAACTCTAGTTTGCCAACCTCCCTCCCAGACCACAGCGCCTCTTGGGGTCTACGAAGGCAGGGGACCAGGGACGCTGAGCCCTCAGGTCTGACAGTCCCGGTCCCCTTGATTCCTCCAAAGCTCCTCCCTCGGGCTTCAGCCACCCTGGCAGCACTGACCACGGGTGACACTCCAGTCTGCCCCGACCCTTGGCTTGCTGGCCCACGGTTTTCACTGTGTATTGCTCGATACAGAACAAGCATTTTAATTCTTGCAACTATTCCCACGTGCCTGCCGCCTCCCTGCCACCGTGCGGGGCGCTGCTGACCATGGCAAGGCGAGCGGCAGGGGTCCTGCCCGCCCAGGGTGCCGTGACCACCCTGCGCTGGCGCCGTGACGCCCTCCAAGGATGCAGGCACCAGGAGAGGCCAGGAGAAAGGACGGAGCTCGGAGCTGCTCCCCGGCCCATCTGGAGCCCACGAGCTCGTACTCGAAGGAGACGCTCCTGACGGGTGGGAGGACCAAGTCTAAACGGGCCGTTGTCAGGGCGACCCCGCCCCATTTCCGGGACCCCACGCTGGAAATTCAGGAGTGAGGAGCACGTGCAAAGCGGGGTCATTCAGTCCCTTGAAACTGCGGCTCGGCGCGGGACGCGGCACGGGGAGGGCAGCACTGACCTCGGCCGGGACGCTGGGCACGGCGGGCGCGATCCCGTTCTCGGCGCTGACGCTCCCGGAGCTGTTGTTGGGCGAGCTGGGCCCGGAGCCGGGGGCGCTGCTGCAGGCGGAGTCTGCGGGGAGAGACACCTGCGGTCAGCGTCGCTGCGCGGGGGAGGCCGCGCGTACCTGCGGCCGGGCGGCCCCTGCTGCCGGGGTCTCTGCCGTCAGCTTGCCGCTGCCCGAGACCCCAGCGGGGAGGGACGGGGCCGAGTCCCTGCTTTCCATTCCCGCCACCGACTTCACTTCAGTCTTTTAGGGTGAGCACATCATCAATTTCACTCCTCTCTGAATTTTAAGATGACACGAAACACCAGCTAGATAAATCCTTAAGCACATTAATAACCTAACGATAAAAGACCGGGAAACACAGGAGCCAAATGACTTTGAACAGCAGAAGGTCAAATTTGCTGTGCTCGCTGAAAAGAGCTTAGTTCGAAATAAAGCAACCTGCTATTAGTGTTCACTGTGAACTAAATCTTATTTTCCCTACACAATAGCAAACATCCAGGGGAAATACAGCTCGTGGCTTCTGTGATCTGTCAGTGCTATTTGGAAACACGCCAAGACAATTGTCAAGTACCTTTAAGCGTCTAAGGGGCAAACGTGGCCCGCGGGCCTGGGAAAGGCACTCGGTCCAGCCCAGGCCCTGCGAGTCCAGGCCCGGCCACGCTCACACACCGTGGGGGCCCCCGGGGCTCTCAACGCTCACGGCAGCGTCGGTTCAGCTTTGGTTTAAGGGCGTCTTAACGTCGACATTGTCTGGTTAGCACTTTCCAAAGAAAACACAATGTGACCTATTTGCCTTGAAGATTCTCCGTGTCTCAGCAGTAACTCTGAATACTCAGGACCGCGCCCAGCGCGCTCGCGCAAGTCAGCAGGAAGCAGAGCGGTGGGAACACCAGGGGGCGGATCAGGGACAGCCGCTCGGGCAGGTGTGCTGAGCCGGGAGGCCGAACGGCCCCCAGCAAACCCTCTTCCCCAGCCGGTCGCTGCCCACGTGCGAGAGGCTCTCACACCAGCCCGGGGTGCCCTCGCTGGCTGCAGGCCAGGGACCAAAGCTGACCCTGCAGACTGGTTCCGCCATAACCCCACCCCACAGCTCTGCCACCCGCAGGCTGGCTTCTAAGCTTTGCTTCCAATAGCTGGTTCCTCTCTCACCAACTCTACAAGGAAGGGACCATCTTACTATCCCTACTGCAGAGAAGGGGAAATCGAGGCACAGAGCAGCACCGTGCCCCTGTCCCAGGTCACACAGCCTAAGGAGGATGCCAAGGGGGCCGCGTGCCCAGGGTAGTCTAGCAGGGCTGTGACCATGCCGTCTGCCCTGTGCTGAGCAGCCCTGGCGCGGCCTCACTGCCCGAGTCTGAGCCCGTGTGACATGCTAGATGCTCACAGGCACAGGACAGCACCGAGGAGCAAGCCTTCCCCTCCCCCGGACAGCAGCAGGCTCCCAGGAAAAAGCTAGGAGGAGCCCGCTCGCGGACCAGCCACCGAGAGCCCTGGCCTCCCAGCCAGCTGCAGCGCTGCTCACTGCCCGCCCTCGTTCCCCGGCCATTGCCGAGCAGCGCCCTTTTATCCTGGTGCTGCATTTCAGGAGAGTGAGGGGTGCTCCCGGGTGGGGGTGCCCCCTGCGGGGAGGGAGACCAACAGAGTAGGGGCCTGGCCCAGGGGTGCTGGGCTCGGGAGGGGCGGGGCTCCCGGCCTGGCCTTTCTGCTCGCCCACCACTAGATGGGGACTAGCACAGTGCGTTCAAGGCATGACAGGGACACTCTCACCCGCTCAGAGGACCGACTCTGGCCAGGGAAGATTCACAAGTGGCCGGTGGGTCCGGCCCTGTTTAACGGGCAGCAGACAGTGGCGGGGCGTGCAGCTCGCCACGAGAAGAAGGGTGGGGTCACTTAAAACCCACCTGCAGAGAAACCTCAACGTGATGTCCTTGTAAACGTCCCCCCACGCCTACCCAGTCGCCCGCCCACGCCTGCGCCCACCCAGAACCAGCCCTGAGTAGTAAGGCTGGGGCGGAGCTTGCCGGAGACTCCTGAGCCACCAGCCAGCGCCCCCGCCCTGCGGGACAGACCGCGAGGCCGGCAGTGCGGCCGGGGCAGGTGTCCGGAGGTGCCGGGAAACCCGCCACGCAGGAGGCCTGTGGAGAGGGCAGCAGGGCGTGTGCCCGCGCGGCCGACGTACCTGTGACATCCAGCGGGCGCTTCTTCAGGGCAGTGACCACCGGCCCGTCCTTCCTGCGTAACAGCGGGCTGCTCCGCCTCTCGGCCACCTTCTGCTTTAGCCGCGAGCGCAGCTTCAGGTTGGGCTCGGAGGCTGCGCGGAAAGGAGGTGTCGTTACAGCCGGGCAGACGACGGGTACACGTTACTGGGGGGCTGAAGGTGAGCGCCCAGCACCAACGAGGGTCTGGGGGGCGGCTGGGCAGAGCACCCACCCCGTCCCTCAGCCCCGAGCAACGGATGAAACGCTTGGGCGCGCCCCTGGAAGACGGGATCTCGGAAGTGCTCGTGGCTGTCACCACATCTGGGAAACAAGGCTCGTGGCTGATTTCCTGGGCACAGCAGGAAGCCGGTGACAGTCACTTAATGGTGACGTCCCTTGAATAACGTTCTCCTAAATGATTCACCCATATCATTATAGCTGCGGGGCTCTCAAATCTGAGAAAAACCGACAAACAGGGATTGTTCTAGGGCCTGGGCTCATGATGACTGCAGAATGACACACACACGTCTGTGTCCCCTGCATGTGGCCACACCTGTGAACCTACTGAGGCTTCCAAAGCGGGAGGGTGCCAACTGCCCCACCCTGGTGATAGGCGAGCGCCTGCCTCCCCCAGCTGTTTGGGCCTCAGTTGGTTTTTGTAAACGGCTCTGCCTGTGTGGACAGAGCCATCGGCCAACCGGCAACTCTAAGCCCTCTGCAGCCCCCGCCTCCCCTGCACCCGGGCCCCCAAACCCCAGGGTGGGACACCCCCCTTTCCGGAAGAGGCACGGGAACCCCAGCCCCGGGGGAGGACCTTTCAGAGTCCAGGAAAGCGGCACAAATGCCATCACAAAGCCTTAACACGAGCCTCCGAGTTCTGAGGTTTTCGCTGCTGGAGCACTGTGAACATACTGCCACTTGTGGGCCTGAGACTCAGCGAGCTTTTACCTCCTGGTATTTTTTTATCAGCACCCCTGCTGTTCCTAGTCTTTCTGGAGCAGGAAGTTCACTGCTTCCAGAGACACAAGAAATGCGATGGAATTTCCCCGTCTGGGCTGTGAGGAGCGGGCCACGCGCAAGGCCACCTTTGGGGTGCGTGGGCAGCCCTGCGCCTCCTCCCCCGTGACGGGGCTGCGAGGTGGGGCCGGGGTGAAGTGGGAGAGGCTTCCCGGGACGTCATGCGTCAGGAGACCCTGCCTGCCCGAAGGCACTGACCAGAGCAGCGCTGGCCTCCGCTCTGCAGCACCAAGGACCCACGACAGACAGACGGGGTTCAGCGCACCCCAGCCCCACCCCTCCACCCTCCCCCAGCTGACAGCGAGGCGGCTTCTGCCTTGACAGAGAGTCACCGTGAGGTCAGGCTGACATCAAGCAGAAACCAGGTAGGAATTTTTGATTGAAGGAAATCACCTGAGAAGGCAGGTTAACGAGATAGAACAACTGACTGTTCACGACTTTTACGACTTTCTGGACTGGTCTATTAATTGTAGTGGCTTAGCTTACGGATCCTGATCTGCAAACTAACACGGGAACTGCAGCATTGGCCCACCCAGTAGCGCCGTACCCGTAACTGTCCCGTGCACAACTGATAGAATAAAAACAAGCGTTCCTCCGATACCGTTAACAGAGGCGACTGGCATCTACCGTGCAGGGAGGAACTACTTTAGTTGCAGCTCTATCACCGCTCAGCAATGACTGTCAGTCTCTCGCCTCTCTCACTGCCCGCTCTCAGTTTTTTGAGCCGGCCTCGCTAACTCATTCTTCATGCGCTTTGGGTATTTTTCAGTTGCCATATAACTCACGGCAACAGAAAACAATAACAAATACAAATTTTTCATTCACTTAGAAAGGTATTTTTTTTTTTTTTTTCTATTTTCGTAATAAACCACTCTGGCCCCACGCTTCGCACGTCAGCGTGCTGTAACACGGTAGGCTGAAGACAGGCCACTTACTAAAAGAAACAGATGTATGAACTAAAACAGCACAACGGATTAGGCACCTAGAGCAGCGGCAAAATCCATTCTTACCTAATCTTGGTCCTCCTAAACACTAGAGATTCGAAATGAAAATGCTAAGAGCCCCTGCCTGTGCACCCCCGCGCCTGCCAACCCTCTGGAAGGGCAGGACTCACTTCTAAAATTTAGAAGGAACGGTAATAACGCTCGTATTCAATAAATTATAGCCTTCTGCAAGTGAGGGAGAAACTTCAGAAAGAATCCACTCACTCTGCCTCGCCCCAGCAGCATTCTTCAGAACCCCGCGCCGCCCACGCCAGGCCGGCGTGTGCACCCTGCGCCGCCAGCCCTGCATGTCCAGGTCAGCGGAGCCGTGCAGCACGCAGCCTGGGTTTCGACCAGCTCTGTCCTGGTTCCTGGCACAGGGTGACAGGCACGCGTGGGACACAACGGGTGTCTTGAATCAGCGCAGATGAACGGAGTGAGGGTTCCCGGAGAGTCACCCAGGGAGTACTGAGACAGCCCAGCTCCTCCACCCTCTTCCCTGCTAACGGCCTGCGTCTCTGACAGTCATCCTCCCAGTATCCGGGTCACTCTAGTTGCACTCCCTCCCAGACCCACGCGCCTCTGGGTCTACGAAGCAGGGACCCAGGGACACCTAGCCTCAGGCTGACGTCCCGGTCCCTTGATTCTCAAAGTCCATCGGGCTCACCACCCTGGCAGCACTGACCACGGTGACACTCAGTCTGGCCCGACCTTGCTTGCTGCCACGTTTTCACGTGTACTGCTCGATACAGAAACAAGCATTGTAATTTTGCAAAATTCCAGCCTGGCGCCTCCTGCCACCATGCCGGGCGCTGCTGACCTGGCAAGGCAGCGCAGGGCGCCCCAGGGTCCGAGACACCTGCGCTGGCGCTGTGACGCCTCGCAACGGATGCAGGCACCAGGAGAGGCAGGAAGAGACGGAGCCCCGGAGCTGCTCCCCGCCCTCTGGAGCCCACGAGCTCGTACTCGAAGGAGACGCTCCTGCGGGTGGAGGACCAAGGTCAAACGGGCCGTTGTCAGGCGACCCGGCATTTCCGGGACCCATGCTGAAATTCAGATGAGGACACGTGCACGGTCATTCACCTTGAAATGCGGCTCGCGCGACGGCACGGAGGGCAGCAGACCTCGGCCGGAAGCTGGCACGGCGGCCGATCCGTCTCAGCGCTGAACGTCCCCGAGCTGGTTGTTGGGCGGCTGGGCCGGACCGGGGCGCTGCTGCAGGCGAGTCTGCGGGAGAGCACCATGCGGTCAGCGTCGCTGCGCGGGGAGCCGCAACCGTACCTGCGCCGGCGGCCCCTGCTGCCGGGTCTTGCCTCAGCTTGCGCTGCCGAGACAGCGGAGGACGCGGGGCGAGCCCTGCTTTTCCATCCGGCCACCCGACTCCTTCAGTCTTTTAGGGTGAGCAATCATCATTCGTCCCTCTCTGATTTTTAAGATGACACGAACACCAGCTAGATAAATCTTAAGACACATAAACCTACACGATAAAGACCCGGAAACACAGACCAAATACTTTGAAAGCAGAAGGTCAAATTGCTGTCTCGCTGAAAAGAGCTTAGTTCGAAATAACAAACCTGCTATTAGTGTTCACTGTGAACTAAATCTTATTTTCCTACAATAAACAACATCCAGGAAATACAGCTCGTGGATTTGTGATCTGTCACTCCTATTTGAAACACGCCAAGACAATTTCAGTACCTTTAAGCGTCTAAGGCAGTGGCCCGAGGCCTGGAAAGGCACTCGTCCTGCCCAGGCCTGCGAGTCAGCCGGCCACGCTCACCACACCGTGGGCCCCCGTGCTCTCAACGCTCACGGCAGCGTCGGTTCAGCTTTGGTTTAAGGCTCTTAACGTCGGCCATGTCGTGGTTAGCACTTTCCAAAGAAACACAATGTGACCTATATTCCTTGAAGATTCTCCGTGTCTCAGCAGTAACTCTGAATACTCAGGACCGCGCCCAGCTGCGCTCGCCAAGTCAGCAGGAAACAGAGCGGTGGACAACCAGGGGCGGATCAGGACAGCCGCTCGGGCAGGTGTGCTGAAGCCGGGAGGCCGAACGGCCCCAAACCAAACCTCTTCCCAGCGTTCGCCACCGCGGAGAGCTCTTCACGCCAGCCGGGGGGTGCCATCGCTGCCTGCAGCCGGACCCTGCCACGGAGGCCATGGCCACCCCACACCACACAGACCCACGGAGGCCATGGCCACCCCACACCACACAGACCCACGGAGGTGACTTACGGCAGAAGGACCTGTGGCGGGCAGCCCCAAAGTGATGTTGGGCAAGGAGGGTGACGTGTAGAGAGGGAGTGGAGCCACCGAGCCTTCCCGTGTCACGAGTCTGTGCGCCAAACCGGTCTGGGGACAGAACACATGGTGACCATCACACACAGGGTCTGACACAGCAGCGTGAGCAGCACACGCCAGGAAAGCGACAGCAGACAGCGCTCGCGGGCAGATGCACTGGACTGCGATGCCCGAGCGCAAACGCGCACCTAACAGACCACGGCAGCCGGCGAGCGCCTCGTTTGACAGCATGCCACGGGCATGGACACGGGTCCGGGAGGCCTGAGTCCGCTCCTCCTGGTGTGAGTTCTTCCTCTCTTACCTTTCCCATGGTCATCTTGTGTATATAAAAACTCAATTTGCTTTTTTACCATAAAACTATCACAAGAAAAGCAAGCGTGATATATTTACAAATATATATTTTGGAGTTGGGAATGTCTTTCCAGCCA